TTTTTACTTTAAGAAAACACTTAACCCGTTATAAACGAAAAAGTCAAGTTTTCATGTTTTCACTTTTTTTCTGGGATATAATTTTGCGGGACAGGCAACTGAAGTCGTCACCTTTTTTCTTTCTGATCTCAATGGTGAAATATTTTAAACAGTCCTTTATAGTATTAAAATGGCCTTCGCGTGATTTTTAAAAAAAAAAAAAAAACAACGCCGTTTTCATTTTCAAAATAACGACAGAACTAATATATTATATGACTCAAACACCATGCTGACGCATATGGCATATGTGTAGTAAATATGAAGATCTGCAGCCGTAACGTGTAAATGAAAAATAATAATAAGGATAAGAAGGAGAATAAATGCGATAAAAAAGGGAAAAATAATGCAAAAATGTTATAATACAATAATGGTGAAAAAAGCTAAAATAGGAAAAAGCAAGTATGCCAAAAGTGAAAGTACGTCAACGACCAATTTTAATCTTTGGTATTTTCACAATTCGTAAAGAAGAAGCTAAGATACGACACAGCGTTTATCAGCCACCATAGATATGTTATATTTACTATTTTAGAGAGTACGAACCTCTAGGTTAGATAATAATAGGTGACATCTTTGGTTTTAATAACTAAGGTAGGTGATTGTTTTTATATTTGATATATCTTTGATTGGTTTTAACTCAAATAGCACGTTAAACACTGTGGCTTGAATATAGATCCTCGTTAATAAATGTTTTTATCCGACCGAATCAATTTCAAACCGTAACGTGAGTTCATGTCACGGATATTTGTATTCTAGCTTGACAAAAAATTATGCAATATTCAAAAACTTAGTGTGTTTTTAACTCTCTACATATAATCTAAACATGAGACACAAAAAAAACTCAAATGAAAAACAACTAAAAACCAAGCATATAATCACAAAGAAATATACTTTCATGGTAAATGTTTTAGGAATTCAGGAAACATTTGAAAGGTTGTTGTTGATTCATATAATAAAATGAAAGTAAACTTAAGCTAGGATTAAATTGGGAACTGGAATTACATCAACATGATTGTGTTCTTTGTTAAAAATATTGTACTTGCAATTTATACGCACTCCGAATATCCATTCGACAATGGACAGTTAAAAGTTTAAGAGTTCAATGTTTCACTATACTATCGGTCAAAGTCAAAATGTGTCAACGTTGTTCCGTTATCTATTACAATAGCTTTCACGCTGTTCATTAAAATAAATGCGGGGGACTACGCATCTAAGAATTGTTTTGTTTTTCTCTAAAATATCAAAAATGCTCCTCCTTCGTTGAATATATTGGGTCCTTGCATGATCTCTTCTATAATCACAATCTTAGGGGCGTCCGTTCTCATATGGTTAGTGTCGTTCAAATCTCACCAGGGACTTTTGATTCTTTCATTGAGGAAGCTATCCAGGTAGCCAATGGAGCGTCGGTGGTTCTACCCAGATGCCACCTCGGGTTTGAAATAATGCACGGAAGGGCACATGAGGTCTTCCCCAACCAGTAAAGCTGGAAAGTCGCCATATGACCTCTGTGTTGGTAAGAACATAAACACATAATAGACTATGACTAAAAGAAAGAAATTTCTTAACGAGTTTGGAAAAACGACTTAAATCTTGTTGAAATTAACGTTTGCAATTATAGCTGTTCTTGAAATGATAATGATATAATTCAATTTGATAATTGTAACAGATTTTGAATTACTTTATTTATATAGAAAAAAAATTAAAGAATGTCGCCCATTTAAAATTAGATAAAGTTAAATGAAATGCAATGTATATGAGCAAGCACATAAATGTCTTACTTAAAAAACAAACGCACTTCTAAAAACGTTTTATACACGATTAAAGACATATTCGTGAGCATGTAACAAAGGTACACAATTCATTCCTACTTCAGGCCGGGGAGGGTATAAATCATGGGTATAAATCATTACAAGTGTCCATAAATAAGTTCAATATATGACTAAGAGACAGTTTAATATATATAATCATATCTACAGCACTATGCTATATTTTTCATGGTCAAGGTCAAGGTCGACTGACATTTTAGCAACGAGAATGAATGTCTGATTATTTTGAAAGAGAAAACTTTCTACAATATGAGCCGCGTCACGACAAAAACCAACAAGTACGTTTTCGACAACCATGGATCCAGACCAGTCTGCGCATCCGCACAGTCTGATCAGGATCCATGTTGTTCGCTATCTGTTTGTAAGCGAACAGCACGGATCCTGATCAGACTGCGCGGATGCGCAGGCTGGTCTGGATCCATGCTAGTTGCAAACCCATTATGTTGGTTTTGTCATGACGCGGCTCGTATGTTTGTTTTATGATATATTGTACACACGATACGTGGTATGATTAAAATGTTCTCGACCAGATATACTTCTAAGGGTCAAAACAATGAAAAATTAAATGGGGGCCTTCAATTGCTAGTTAAAAAAATTTGTGTTATGAGCCTCATATTTTATTAATAAGTGCACAAAAACGTTAATGATTAAAAGCTCAAGGGGTTTTTAAAAAATTTCATTTAATAAAGGGGGGAAAAAACATTATAAGGTCATAAAAAGTAAGAATTAGGGGTTTCCTTTTCGATGGATTATGAAATGAAAATCTAAGATTCAATTTTTTCATTAAATAAACCGGTTTTAATTTAAAATTAGAATGAATTTTTTCGATTTGATTTTATAATTTAAAATTTATTTTAAACAAAAAACCCCCCTAAAATGTAGTATTCAAACCGTAATTAAATTTTTTAGAATTTTTGTTTTATTTAAAAAATTAAAATTTAAAATTGTTTATTTATTTTTTAATTCTTTACCATTTTTAAATTTATTTTAACCAACGTTAATTTTTAAGTAATAGAATAAAAAACTTTTTGATATTTTAATAACAATATTTGTGGTTTTTAAAAAAAACCGTTTTTAAATTATCTTTTAAATTTTAAACTTTTTCAATGTGAAAGGGGTTTTCTTGCAATAAACCTTCAACCTTTGACAGGTTTTCCCTTTGGATTTTGGGGAAATTTTTCCCATTATAAAATTGGGGGTAAAAAACAATTTTTTTTCACCAAAAAAAATTTATCCCCACGTTGGATCTAAAAAACCCCATTATATTTTGGAAAGGGGAAACCAGCAAAATTTCCAGTCAACCCGGAGCCGGTCGTTTCCGGATTCATTTGAAATTTTAAAATGGGTTTTGGCCCTGAAAGGACAACTTTTTTAAATCTATATAGTAGTAAAAATTCCCCTTTTCATTTTTTAAACGGGTTTTAAAATTTTTTAAATTTAAAAAATTTTTGGGCCCTCCAGTATTTTAAATTGTTTTAATTCTGAAAAATTTTACATTAAATTAAAATTACCATCTCCTAAAAAATTGGTTATTAATTCTAAACACGTTTTATTACATTGCGGTAAACCGACGTATTTTTGTTTATATCTGTAATGAAATATAAATATGTACTTGTTTGATAATGTTTTTTCATTTCGTTTTAACCATTTTATTTTATTAAATTGTGCACAACTCGAATAGAGTGGTGTAACATAAAAAAAAAACATAACTGTAAATTATTAATAACCAAAATAGTTCTGGTCGTTTTTCAATAGCGTTTTAAAGGTTCTTCTTAATGTCACATTTCAAACACTTCTACTAATTGCAAAACAGAGGCCTTTTCCCTCCGCGTGGACAAGTATGCGATAGGACCAGTTCAGACCATGATCAGTCAACATATCTGATCGATAAGGGTATGCACTGGTCGTTTTCCAGTCAGTACATAATTGAGCCGCGTCACGACAAAACCAACATAATGGGTTTGCGACCAGCATGGATCCAGACCAGCCGTTGGATCCGCTTACAAACCCGGCCTATAACAAGTAGAGAAACAGATAGCGAACAGCATGAATCCTGATCAGACTGCGCGGATGCGCAGGCTGGTCTGGATCCATGCTGGTCGCAAACCCATTATGTTGGTTTTGTCATGACAAGGCTCATTATTATGATTTGAACATTTCCTTAAAATGGTCCTTTGGTCCTGATAAAAACGAATGACAGGTCCATTTAAGATATCTAGGTGGTAAATATCTAGGTTAATGGAATAATAAGATGGATGTTTGAATTTGTTTTTAATACTTGCTTAGGTAAATACCCCTTACTCTTTCTCTAATTCTACTACAATAACACAATAAAATATTGACCAAATGCAATATAAATTGTTTCACTTTACACAAGTGAATCTTATTACATGTATAGATATGTGCAGATAAAGCTTGGAATGAAGAAAGATAACAATCATGTTAACACAGTGATACATACATACATTTATTATAATATACGATAATTATACTATATACCTGTGTTGATTTCAGACTTTACAGTGGAGTAGGATTATAACTTGCAGATACGAGTAACTAACCTCATCGTTGTTTGATTAGTTTTTTATTATCATTGTATTGTTTGTTTTTTTTATAAGCGTTTTATCTATTTATTAATTATGGTTATTTATTTATTCAAATATTAGTTTTTTATTTGCTTGCATGTTTGTTTGTTTGTTGAAACGTTGCCGATTGAATCTCCTGTCCAGCTCCCAATTTTCCATTATTATTTTGGGGGTTGTCATGAGTATAAGTTTAATATGGTTAGCTAAAAATACAGCACCTGGTCAGACTACAAGAACGTGCAAGATGACCAGGCCCTTAACTTGTGGTACAAGTCTAATCCTTTTCTTTTCCAGCAGGAAAATAGTTAAGATAAGTGCTCTACACAGAAATTTTGTATTAAACTATTTGAGTATCAACCAAAGATATGGAATTTATACCAGAGAGACTCAAAGCTGTATAGAATTTTAATTCTTTCAGCGCCTTGTTTGAATAAAACACTACAATTTCCTAGTATACTAATGAAATTCATATTTAAACTTGAATGACGTTGCAATATTCCATTAAATAACTCGTCTTGAAAAAAAGTGCTGTATTACGGAATTCATTTTCTGTTTGTTATCATTCTTTTGCAGTATATAATGGCGTTGTCAGCACAGGTTGGCATTGGAGTCACATGTGTACTGATTGCTCTTGTATACCAGTGGTTCCCTAAATCCGACTACTCTTCCATTGTAACAGAAGAAATTTCTGACGTATACGATTACATCGTTATCGGTGGTGGTTCGGCAGGTTCCGTAGTCGCATCAAGACTCTCTGAAGATAGTGACTCTTCGGTTTTATTACTGGAGGCAGGGGCACATTTTATTGAAAGCCCCCTGACGCATATACCTCTTGCATGGGCACCGCTTGAACATTCTGAATATGATTGGGAATATTACACGGAAAAGCAGACACAGTGTTTTAAAGGAATGAAAGACAACAAAGGGTACTGGCCACGTGGCCGGGTTCTTGGAGGTTCGGGTATTCTAAATGGAATGCAGTATACACGTGGTAGTAAGTTTGATTATGACGGATGGGTAGCCGACGGATGTGATGGCTGGAGCTATAAAGACGTTCTTCCGTACTTTCTGAAATCTGAAGATATGCAAATTGAACGTTTTAAATCCTCGAAATACCATAGCAGTGGAGGACCGCTCGCTGTGTCATATAGTCCACCTACAGAATTGACAAATCTGTTTATGAAAATGGGCCAAGAACTTGGCTATCAAATAACTGATTACAATGGAGAAGACCAAGAAGGTTTCAGTGTCGTTCAAAGTAATGTACGGGATGGAGTTCGTAGCAGCACTAGTCTGGAATATCTTGGAAAAATTGGCAACAGAAATAATCTTGACATTGCTGTTAAAACTTTGGTTACTAAAATTGACATTAAAAATAAAAAAGCAGTTGGAGTTTTCTATATAAGAGACAATAAGAAATATTACGTAAAGGCAAAGAAAGAAGTCATCTTGTCAGCGGGTGCTATAAATTCACCGCAACTATTAATGTTATCAGGAATTGGCCCTAAGGAGCATCTTAATGAAATGGGTATACCTGTAATCAAAGATCTGCCTGTTGGACAATATTTAAAAGATCACCAGCTTGTTGTCCTTCCTTCTGCTATAAACAAACCATATGGTCTCACAAAAGAACAAATAATCGGCCGATGGGCACAGTTACAGTATGACTGGTTTAAAAGTGGACCGTTAGCAAACACTGGTTTAGACGGATCCGCCTTCTTACATTTAGACAAGTCTGATCGCGGGAAAACTTTTCCCGATATTCAAATTATATTTTTCAATTTCCTTTTTGCCGATAACCTCTTCAGCTTAAAAGATGAAATAGCCGATGAGTATATAGCAAAAGATGGTTCTCTTCATGGTTTTAGCACGGACGTGTGCATAACTCATCCACATAGTACTGGAACATTGAAGCTTAGAAGTACAGACCCATTCGATCCTCCTTTGATAGATCCGCAGTATTTTACAGACAAAAGAGATATTAAAACAATGATCGGAGGTATTCGGTTATGGGAGAAATTTTCAGACACAAAAACATTTAAAGATCTTGGCGTCGACATAAATCAAGCGAAATACAAGTTCTGCTCTGCATTCGAATTTCGATCTGACGAATACTGGGAGTGCTTCATCCGTCATGTATCAGCAACCGAATACCACCATGCCTGCACGTGCAGAATGGGCGGGGAAAGTGATCAATTAGCGGTTGTAGACACACAGTTACGTGTTAAAGGTATTCAAGGACTAAGAGTGGTAGATGCCTCTGTTCTACATAACATAACGTCTGGGAATACCAATGCCCCTACTATAATGATCGCAGAAAAGGCAGCGGATATGATACGAGGAAAAGATACTGTGGCAAAATATCGTAAAAACTTGTGAAGAGAAATGAGAGTGTCTTCCTGCTTGCGAAAAAATCATGTATACATTGCATTTATAATAAAATTAACTGATTTGAAACGTATTATAAACAAACAGTTTATGTAGCCACAGAACACTGACGTGTATATGTTAAGGTATACTATAAGATTTTAAATACACATGTCTTGAAATATTTGAATAAATTATGCAGTAATATAGTAAAATGTTGTATAAATGAGTGTTGTATAAATGAAGTGTGAATAGTGCTGTTTGCAAATTTCCTATTTGCGTGATCACATTTAGTTTGTTAGCTCGGAAAATCACCACTCACCGTATGGTGACTTATTTACGCTTTTCATCAGGTTATGTTTGACATAGTATATTCATGCGAGTGTCGTGTTGCGATTCGGGTCCTTTTTGCATTCCGAGACGAATCGATCTCAAAGCTATTTGCCCAAAGTGAACGTGTTTTACATTTCCAAAGAGAGAGTACAATATTTCAGTAAATTAATTAGTTAACAAGTGTTCACAAGCAAAGTGGAAAACAACGTACTAGTATGTAGGATTTTTGTGATTAGTTTATAAGAAAATAAGAGACAGAATATCCGTTTGACATATTGCTTATATTTGATGGCATGCTTTATATCATATTAAAATTCATGCCAATATGTTCTGTTGTTTTTGGTTCCAAAAGAAACAAAGTCCTGCAAAAAGGTAATTTGTACACTTGTATTACCATTTTTTGTTACAGAAAAATGCTACATCCGCTATAAATATGCGTTTAATAATTACAAGGAAAATCAAAGCACTGAATGTACTGATGGGGAGGCTATGAGAGAATGTTTCAGACTTATAGTGTCTTTTCTTTTGCTTAAAATATGCTACCAAAATAAAAAGATATGCACATTGCGCTATTTATCCTTACTGTTGTGTTCAACCATTCATATATATGGTTAATGTGGTTGACTATTCATTTTGTTAATATTCCAGAACATTTCATTGAGGTCTACATTCGGACTGTTAATCATACAAATTTTGAAAAACCTAAACTGTCAATAATAAATGTCATACCAGCAAGTATGACGACTGTTCATTATCAGATAACAATAACATTTTACAACTGACGGTTCCTTATCAAAATCACAGGAACTTGAAATTCTATCAAATAACCAATATTAATTATAATATCCAAATATACCCCCTTTATACTATAGAAAAAATTTATAGTATATAGGGGGTATATTTGGATATTATAATTAATATTGGTTATTTGATAGAATTTCAAGTTCCTGTGTCAAAATATTCTAGGACTGTTCATCATAAATACTTTATGTCATTTTAATATTATTGAATGATAATAACAACTGCAAGTGATGCAACATTTTTATTGAACATAAAAATTATACACGTTTAGATGTACCATAATTGAGATCAATAAGATACTGTCTTGTGATGAGTATTAATATTCATGCTCTACGGACAGAAGGTTGTCTTCTCCAGAAGCAAATCTCGAATAAAATCATGTTTCAGAAAATTATTTCCATTTCATTACTGACGGCGTCGGATAATATTAAAGCTAAATATTTCTTGAAAAAATACATATCTGCAAAGCTTATTAAAAACTGAATCAACCTAAGTGAAAATTGGTCAGGAAGTTATATCTTCTTTTTTTACCGCCAACACTCAACCAACTTATGGTAGTTAATCGATAGCTTGTGTATTTTTAAACCTCACTAGCTTGAAATATAATTATACTGCGGAAAATCTGTTGTTAACAGGGTGTGCGGTTATTACGTAGGGGTTTCCCTGTCGACCATTTCCCGCAAATAGATGAGAACATCGAAGCCGTCAGTGCTATGAATGGTGTTATAAATGGCGTGTTTTGGAAGTTTTTGTTGAAACTTCTCCAATTTCCTCCAGAGGCGTGCACGTCGCGGAGAAGGCACACGGAAGGACATAGTCAAGTCATCATAAGTACCAGAGGTGATTGGTTGACCTGTCGTGACTTACTCTGGAGGTTTGGCGCTAATAGATGCCGTTTTTGTTGTCGTCAGTCAGAAAGTTGATGCCTTGACGGTATTGTCGTCTCCTTTACCACCAAAGAACGAAGAATGGGCTTCCAGGAAGAATCTGCTTGAAAAAGACGTCCCAGATGCTATAATCTCGGACATATGGTTATTCCGGCGCCGAGTATAAATAAACTTAAAACACACTCACTTTTGTTGAAAACAAAACAAAAAAACAACAACACATTTTCTGTAGTAATTTTTCAAGTGTTGTAAAATGAATAAGAAATTCCTCTTATGCCGCCGATTATTTTTAGAACACAAACATAAAAGTTCTTTTTTTTTATTTTTCAAATAAACATTAATCACTTCAGCGCGCGCAAATATCGTTTTCAAATTAAAGTTTCGTAAGATATGTTAATGACTTCCCGATGCTCGACTGTAAGTAATTTGTATATGTATGCGGTTTTTTTTTTTTTTTTTTTTTTTTTTTTTTTTTTTTTTTTTTAATTAAAGCTTCTTATTCTTTAATATTTTTTATGTATCTCATAATCTGTATTGAAAATTTGAATTTTATTACACATGGACTATCAAATTATGATGTATGCCCTAGAATTGAATAAACTTTCTAATTACACAATACGGGGTCATACTGATCTTTGCGTCTTTCTCTGAAATAATTATTTCTTTGTTAAAACATATTTGACCACATATTTCTGTCAATTAACTGTTCACTTTACTTCCGATTTTTGTTGTACGGAAACACATGTTTCTATTTGTGTTTTCTAATCAATTCGAATCTATAATCAGTTTAATGGGATCACCACCGGGTAAACGACTACTAGGTACTTTGGTCATGTTTTTTACCCCAAATATTTGAATGTTTCTATTGGGATTAAAATGAGCATAGTTAAGTAAACAACTGGTTGTATAAATCCCTGACCTGTCTAATTCTAATTATGAGATCAGTGAATATATAAGACTTTCACTACAAAATATTCCTAAACAAAAGAGCACATGTTTAAATGTATTCCTATACAAATAAAAGATCAGAGTAGGGATCTGTCAATTGCCAAATATACTTTTATGTTAAAAGTTTGATTAATGAATTATGTAAGATGAAAATATAAGTATTGCTTTTTTTATTTTGCTAATGTAAAATGTAATATTTTGCTGGAATTTTGTCGGAAGGTCCTTATAGGGGTTTTGTAGTTAAATAGTTTTTTTTTTTCGGCGATAATGGTTCAATAATATAATGTTTCAAACTATATGCTCATCATCATCAGTGAATTTTTAGTTAAATGTATGCAAAATATTTACTAACAGCTATATGATATAGCGGTTTATGACCGTTTTCCGCGTACAACCTCCTGGGGTGTACTAATAAGTTAGTTTTCCTTAGTTATCACGCAAGCATGATCCATGTCTCTGATGTAAGCGACAGTTTACAATTATTTGTCTTTAAAAAATATTAAGGACTTTTAATGGTTTATAACAACAAAAGAACATGCATGATATTGAGAATACGGCATTGTATATACACCGGTCTCAAATATCGTCAGTAAGACCGGTGTACACAATGGAGAATACGGTGTTGGAACGTTCTAGTTAATGACCCGTCATAAACAGTTGGTCGCTGCGTAGTAATTGGAAAATTGTTATCAAAAATAATAAAGAATATTTGCCACTAAATTAAAGCATTTACTTATAAATTTTCATTTATGCTTTTTGTTAAAAAAATATTGATAAAGTTATTATTTTGAAGGGTTTTCATACCAGAACTATTTATTACAGACGTACGTATGCCTAAACCTGATTACCGCGGCAGTATGACGTCACGGAGTAGTGATTTAAACAAAAATCAAGAATTTTTCAGAGAATTATTATCTTTACAAATTGCAGATATGAAATTAAAGAATGAAAATATTTTCATATTGTAAATGTCTGTGATGAGTGATGAGTCAGCTTAGAAAAAATCAAGGTACTATTTTTTGACCTGATTACCGCGGCAGTAAGATTTGACGAACAGTTATTAACATTGGGTCGGCATAGCCTCCCCAAAAATCTGAGGAGCGTTTATGTAGCTATCGGTTATCTTTACTTTTGTCTTGCTGCAATTGTAAATGATTAATTACGACAATATATTATTTGATGTCCTATTTAGTTAAAATCTATGTCTACAAGCCAAGTCAATACACATTGCTATAATCAACCATTAAAATGCGTTAAAACAGAAGAGATTTCACTTACGTGTCACATGGAACGTTCCATGATAACCGCCATATGAACACATTGCGGATGTTTTAAAATTCCAAATTGTACCAGTTCATATTAAATGTTGGTTGAATTCTGCTTAAGCCGGTGCTAGTGGGGCGTGGACGGTAGTTTGCACTTGACAGTACCATGAACAGGCTAAATCAAACCGAGCCTGCAACATTTTCAATTTTGCCGTGTATGGCTATCTTAAGGGATTCTTACTTTCTCTTTTTCATAAAATCAATCAAGAGAATCAATGTTGTAGTTCACAAATATATTAAAAAATCGAATCTTTGCGACTAACCAAAATGTATCAACTACCATCAAAAATTAAACAACGGGTCATTTTTGTTGTTGTCCTTTTTCTATTTCCTTTTTTTCTTTTTATCCGAACTCCTCAGTATAGTTTTCCTTAAAACGTTGATTCATACATTATTTATATAATTATCTATTTATATATGTAACATGGCTCAGTATCTTCTTATTCTGTGGTGGTTTTAGATGAACTCAATGGTCAGCCTTTTTCGTCATCAAATGACAAAATTACTTGCATTATCTTGTATTAATACTTTAAGTTACTATGCAATGGGGAAAAAACTTCAATCAGCATAAGGTTGCTTCAAGTCTTATCTCTTTTTGTTTTGTTTTTGGTATTATTTGTATCGATATAAATGTCATGTAAAATGTGTTCTTGTAGATGTTTTCGTTCAGTCTGTTAGCTAGGGTATAAAGAGCATGTGATGAATGGGCCTTTGATTGACGGCTAGAGCAACTATGAATGTTTCCCTGTAATTATTAAGTTTAAATTAAGATTACTAACATATTCATGAAAGTGGGTAAATACAAGTAGCAGCTTGTGACGATAATTGTTACATCCTTAAATAACTTTCTAGAATTGTCGCAAAGACGACTACATTTACTATAATACTGGCACGCTGATTGGCTGAAACGAACGATACCCAAATTTAGGTGTAGTTCAAGCTATCATAACGCGCATGCTGGAGCAAAACATATGGCGGATATAAACACTAACAAGCATGTGACTTTTGAGAATTTCAATAAAACCATAACACTTACTTTTTGCGGATGGGGTCTTTACCTATGCTGTAGTGGTTTTCGCAGAAGCTTGTGGAGGTAACAGTGCATGAAGCACCCTTTGTCAAGTATACCTAATAAGGTGCACAGAATCGATTTAATGTGTGGTAAAATATCCGAATAAGGACAGCACCTATTTGGTGACGAACAAGTACAAATCTTTGCAAGTGAAATCCATGAGATAAGAGCCAAATGAAATAAGCAGAACAAGATACATTTATGACAATCCTTTTATAATATGCATCCACGTCCTCCAAATACTTGTATTTATTCAAACATAATCACAATTACTAGCACATGCTCATCTATAAAATGAAATGTTCTTTAAAGTTCGCCTCTATTACTTTTTATCTTTACACGTTTGTACGGATAAAACATTTTAATTTTTTTTCACTGAATTGTAAATCTATTTTAATCAAAATTTTCGGGCCACTTTGCACCTTGTTCCCAATGTATTGGGTATTTCTTGAGCAAAGGGAACAAGAAATAGGATCTCGTCCAACGATGAGGCAGTCATCTCGGTCATGAGGTGAACCTAAAATAGATATAAATACAAAGTACAAAGTTTAAATATGTTTATTAACGAGTATTTTAGTTTGTAAATTAAAACAGATCAAATGAGAAGTTATTAAAAATTTCACCGAAAACCATGTCATAAGTGGACCAACATATTGCAAATACAGTTCAGTATCTCGTCTTCTATCATCACTCACAGAATACAGGGAGGTGAAACCATGCTAGTTTCGGACAAATACAGGCTTTCCTTGTATTCAAAACTACAAACATTTACAAACATTTTGAAGCGATTTTAAATTAGTTGTATTTCTTATTAATTTTCTTAGCACATTTAAACAGTGTTTACTTACAAAAAGCATTGTTCGTGAAATCTAATCACAAATCAACTTTGAACAACTTTTAATTTCTAAAAATGTACGATAAGGTAAATAAAATTTCATAACAGACAGCAGTTTAAAGAAATACCATCTGCAACAACAAAAAAAATCTTCTTCATTGCTTCATCGCTGTAAATACAATATTGGCTATTCCCACAATGCAACAAAATTCACACATTTTATAATATGTGACATGATAAGACATACCGTTCTCTCGCCTAATGTTTTGAAGATTTCTATGGCACTTCCGGACTTTCTGGAATTAAACACAGCTTCTGCTTCTCTCTTCCAGGTTGCTAATCCTTCAGATGCTGTTTTAACTGTAAAGAAATGGAACATAGCGTTTGTTACAGAACATCCCAAACTACTTAGCCGGTCATATAATGATATTAAGCTTTGACCATTTTCTGATCGCGTCGCAATAAGTATTGCTATGGTAGAACGACCGTGTCGATGGAACCTTCAAATGGAATCCAAGCATTGTTTGCCTTCCCCCAATATACTTCTTCCAATGCTTCAACCGAAACACGATCCCTATCGAAAGAGATTTTGAGACTATGTCATTTTTGGATAGATAAGGAGGCAATTCATCACGGCTGTGGAGAATTGTTTTAAATGATTAAAGGACAACAAAGAGTCCATTGCTGTAAATAGTTTGAAGATTTCGCAAGAGACCATAGTCAACCAAGCTCTGGCCCCTTTTCAGAATTGTATTATGTTATTCAATAATGTATATAAATTTTATTAGTGCAAAATATTTTAAATAAAATATGTTTAAACTAAACAAACTGAGTTCTACTTGTTTTATTGAGTAAATGAAGAAAATCGCCATATTACAATCAATCCAATCTTTGCCGGTATCGAACAAAATTTCAAATTGTATGTACAACAATCATTATACATGGACAGAATTAAAAGTATTTGTTTTTCAAAGCACATTCATTAAGTTAAGACGTGAATAACTTACCACCAAAATTTATATTAAATTCACAGTAGATTATTTCCACAGATTGATTTAAGGTATTTCCTTCAAGAATTGCTGTTCCATTGCTAACACCCAGCGTTTTTATTGCAAAATTTGCGTAATCGACAATCGGTTCTGATTCATACTTGAATGAATTTCTTCTTGCTAAAACTGACAAACGACGTTCTAATTCGGCACTGCTTTCCACATTCATAACTGAAAAATATCATAAGATTTAGAATTTATATGAAAGTAAAAGACAAAACTCATTAAACTTTTTTGCGATAATGAGAATGAAATATTCTTACAAATTTATCTCTGTATTTATACGTCGTGGTAACCCTGCCTATGGATGATTGTAAACTATTTTGTCATAGACCTACACGTTTGAGCAAAACTTAACTTGCATTGTCAATCAGTCAATACAAACACTTAAAGTATGTACATTTGATCTCAAAATAGAATTAAAGATTTTCAAGAATATTTTGATTATTCCCCTTATCAAGAGTCGACACATAAATAAAACCGGGTTTTTACAAATGCCTTTATTTATTAGCCCAAATTCGGTCAATACTTGTAATAAGATAAGTTATTTACTTACCGACCAACATTTTGGTTCACCGACAACCTGTAAGTATAAAGAAAAACGTCTTATTAAACTTTTTTTCAAACACATATGAACTTTTAATGCCATCGTCTTGCTTATTCATTTAGGTTGATGTTAGCACACTACTTGAGACTTATGAAACATGTCTGTTTCAACTGATTAATATTTTATCAAACAAACCTAAAAAACTATAAGTCCTGTTGCCGTGTCAATTTTTATAAAATCCATTTTAAAATTGAATACATTTATGTAGACAATGAAAATATACCTTACCTTAAAGTTGAGAAAACATTCAACAGTCTTTCGTGTTGCGTCACAAAGAATGCTCTTAATGTCTTGTAAACTCAGTCTATAGCCTGTACGTCCATTTGTAGATATATCAATCGTGAGGAAATATCTTGAAGCAACTAAACGTTTATACCTTCAACGGTGTTTGTGCAACTGAAAACGTTCGGAACATTCTGATTTCCATGCAAACTATTATCTCTCGTACAATAGTTATATGGTAAACAATTAGTAATAAGTAATAAATATATTATTGTGTCATAGTTTCGAATGGTACGTTTGGTAGAGTATAGTAAATATGTAACATATTTACTCACAGCTGTAAGGTTACTAAGTTACTCACCAAGTTTGTTATTAAGTCATTTATAATTAAGACGTGACTTTAAAATTTAAGGGTAGTAATTTTTGTTTTCTATGTTACTAAGTATAGTATTATCTTATGTCTTATCTTATTATCTTATCTTATTATCTTATGTATAAACTCTATTAACTCATATTAACACATATCATGTCATATGTATTTAGTCAGGGATTGTCGCTAGTAATTTTTGTTTTCTATGTTACTAAGTATAGTATTATCTTATGTCTTATCTTATTATCTTATCTTATTATCTTATGTATAAACTCTATTAACTCATATTAACACATATCATGTCATATGTATTTAGTCAGGGATTGTCGCTTCTCAATAACTTAAGGCCAGTTTGTCAGTAACTCATAGTTAACATGTAACTTACTTGCTCATGGTTTGTATTTCATTTCGCCATCCATGAAGAGACGTTTACATTAAAACAAGGTATAAAGAATTACTTACAACATAAAAATCTGTAGCAGTAGCAGAGAACCAAACAGCTTTAGTATGAATCCCATTTTCTGAATCAAAAGCATGTACAAATATAGGTAATAGAAATATTAACATTTCGTTCATATTAATCGTTTAGGATATTAGCCAAGTTGACTTTCTATTTCTTTCTAGGTAAATGTATTTAATAAAATATCAATGTGATATCTATTTTTTTGGAATTTACTTTTAAAAGGCTATGTTTTCAAAATGTCTAATTTTGTAATAAAGCTTCGAGCGAATTTATTTTTATTTAGTGGAATTACAATCTTTTTTTATATTCAGCTTTATAAATTAGTTGAGCTGTTTTTGTAAATGGAAGTATCAGATTATAAGTTTTTCATAGCATGAACATAGCTGAAATGTTATATGTAACAATTGCAAAATGTCGAAATGCGTACCTTCGTTTCCCCCTTAAATAGTGTTTTATTTAGTTAAAAAAAATGTAACTCCTTCTCAAATTCAAAACAAACTAAACTGACGATTCATTCTGTAGTGTTTGGTGTTTTTAAATGTCCTGGAAATATTTTGATTACCATAGGGGTAGTGTTCCGTAACATCAAAACACTGTATCTTCATTTAATTAATGTCATAAAAGATGCCAACAGCTTACATTTACAAATCGCTTCTGTCATTATATACGGACTGTGCTGCAAATATTATATCTTATTAATTCGTCTGACGTCAGATACGAGTTATGACAGGGACTTTATCATCCTTACATGGAAGACCTGCCATACTGTATACTGTATCATAATAATGTTACTATTCCCTCTTTTTGTTATTATTCGTTCGTAGTAGGAGAATTAGATTGTTGAACATTGTCAATTTTGTCTTTTTAGAAGCGTTTATAGACACTAAAAACATTAATTAAGTTTTAAGTACGCACATGTCATTATAACGAAATATTTTTTAAATAATTAACTATATGCTAATTTGAACTTTTGTTAATTACCTGAATTATCATTATAGCCCGTTTATATCAAACAATGTTATCATATGAATTCAAAACAATGATATTATGACAAATATATACGTACCTTTAGACCTAGGAAATTATGTTTATGTTTCATCTAAACGAGATGTCCAGACTACATTGTGAGACTGTATTACAAACACAAAACAATAACACCCCCAACACTTGGTTTAGAGGCATAATAATAGTTAACATGCGATACTATATATACAAGGATTGCTAGAGAGAGAACATAGTTCGGCATGGTAGGGCGGCTTTCACAGAACGCGGTCTCCGATCAAACAACCAAATTTAATTCTCAGTCCAGATTTCAACTACTTATGTTTTGGACATGCAATTGTTCAACATACAATTTAGGGAAAGGAATGAATTATAAAAATATAAGGTCATACAAACGATAACACTGATTGACCATCTTATCAAGGTCTTTTTTTACTAAGGATCTCGAATGCAATCAACCATTTTTATAGTAAATGACTGCTTTAGTTCTAATTAAACGTATTTCTTTTTTATTTGTTTTGTTTGTTTTTTGTGTTTTTCTATTAATAATTTGGCTAAACAATAAAACCATATCTATGAAGTCTCAATATTCAGAGATTGCAAAAGTGCACAGTGACTGGGTAAGTCATGGTTTGCTCTAGAATTTAACAAATTAAATGTATTAATGTAACGACATCTGGAAATTAGGATTTGTATTAAAGAAACATTAATGAACTCAAAGACTATTCAGCATACAATTTAGTGAGTGGGAAAGGATTTATAATATCAAATTTTACGTTATGGCAGCTTAAAGGATATGAGGGTAATGATTCTGCGTCTGAGTTATCCTGAAATTTATGTTTTAGTTTTAAATGTTCATAAAACTCTTACTTAAAATTAAAAATTAAGATTAAAATCCAAAGGTATATGAAATAATAGAACGTGATATCAAACTATGTGATTTTATTTTCTATTGATTGTAATATTATAGGAATGTTCCTTTCCTTCTTTCTCCGCCCTTGCACCCTCTCCCTTTTTCGATTCGTTGCCTTGCTGGGTGGCTTGCTGTTGTTGTCAGGTTATTTACTGGCTGCATTTTGTGAATGTCACCAAATCTTGTTAATACTTGTATTTATTTTTATGGTGCGGATAATAAAAATCAATGGGCTGATGATCTTTGTTTTAGTTTCATTGTATTGAAAATGAAATGCATGCAATAACCGAATGTTCTTTGTGTGAGAACAGAAGGAACCCATTGTTAAATGATGCCCACTCTACTTGTGATTTATTAACTACAATGTCAAAACATGAAAAGTTTATGTATTTATTTGCACACCAGAACACACATATGATAAGATTGCTTGCAAAAACCTGTTGTGATATAACTATAGAAATAACATGATGTATAGTAAGAACACTAATTAAAATTGTAACACATCATTATTGTTTGACTTTACAACAAGCACAACTTTTAACAAGTTTATAATACAAAGTACAACTTTAAGTTTCTAAAAAGTGAACTGGAAATTATTATTCCTAAAGAAGTTTTTGTTATTAGGACTAACTTACTCATTTTGATTAATTGTTCAAGTATAACATTTTAACTTTATCTACTAGCTTTAATTAATTGGTATTTTAAAAACTTCGTATAGCAATATTTTACAGGTACTTGTGATTTTGGATAATTATTTATATTATAGCCACATTTTGTACTTGATTTAAGTGACAATATATTCTTGCGTGAATGATTCTCTTGCCTTTCATAATTCTTATATAGAATTGCTGTATACATGATTTATGATATTGTTTGTATTATACTGTGTGTACATCGTGTACATAGATGATACCTAAATAAATAAAATAAACCATTGAATCGACTTATGCGGGGAAGAACAATAGACTAACCTTTTCATTTAATGGAAGTACTAATTTTGTTATAATCTTGTTTATTTTAATACAATAAGTTTTCATTAAGTACGGACACATTTTTAAGTATTGAAAGACTATAACTGCCATGATATTTCTTTATAAGATACTGAATTTTATTTTTGTTTTTTTATCACGGTACTTACACAGTGGGTACTTACACCCTGTGTGTTCTTATAACCTGTGAGACAGTAGAAACAGAATACAAATGACCAAGTTTTATTTTCTCTCATATTTTTTTAATATTTCATTATCTTAATGGGATAAAATGTACATGATGCTCAAACTAGGAAGGAACCCATACAAAGATTGTTTTCCTCGAAAAAATGAAAGAAAATTAAAAAGACCTGTCCATTTTAAGGCAATTTAGCCCCGCACAGATGATAAAATGTCACGTGGTTTGACACAGTGTTAATTATATGGAATCTTCACCTTTCGCTTTCATGTCTACAGTTATAATGTTATATTGACAACTTTCGAGCGCATTCTCTCTTTTGGGAATGTTGTCAACTATTTAGCGAAGGTATTATGTATAGCACAAACATTTAGGTGTTTTTATCGTGAGTGTGATGTGACATCAAAATCATGAGGTGACAGACTGTTCAAGATTCCTATAAATTCAAATAGAAATGTTTTTGAAAATTGGTCAGAAGTGATGTAACAAGACACGTCATGTCGTTTGAACTTTTAATTTACTTTTCATACTTTTTATCAGTTGAAAGCAATATCAAAACATATGTATAATTAATTTCGACATATACACAATTTGTGTCAAAAGCTACATGTACGAGACTGCCTGGGGGCGTCCGTAGCCGAGTGGTTAAGGTCGTTGACTTCGAATCACTTGCCCCTTACCGCTGTGGGTTCGAATCCTGACAGGGACTTTGGATTTTTTCATGTGAGGAAGCTATCCAGCTAGCTTCCGGAACGTCGGTGGTTCTACTCAGGTGCCCGTTTGTGCCTGAAATAATGCACGGAAGGGCACCTGAGGTCTTCCTCCACCAGTAAAGCTGGAACGTCGCGATGTGACCTATACTGTGTCGATGTGACGTAAAACCAAAAATAAACAAACAAACGAGACTGCCTATTAAGCTGGACAACATCTGATGTGTAAGCCAGTGAACGCTGCTTTAACTTAGGGTGATTCGTAATTTCTTTGTGACAATTAATGTCGGTCGTTGAGACATTTGTTTTTTCCCCTGTTATTCAGCAATTATGTAAAATTAGCAATTAGTCACTTGCGAGAAAAGGGCGTCCATAGCCGAGTGGTTAAAGTCGTTGACTTCAAACCACTTGCCCTTTACCGCTATAGGTTCGAATCCCGCCAACGACTTTGGTTTCTTTCAAGTGAAGAACTTTTCCAAGAAGCTTACGGAACGTCGGCGGTTTTACTCAGGTACCCGCTTGAGCCTGCATAATAATGCACGGACGAGCACCTGAGGTCTTCTTCCACCGGTAAAGCTTAGAAAATTGTTATATGACGTCATATGCCCTTAATAGAGTTAATGCGACGTTAACCCAAACCAGAAAAATCAAACAAAGATTTTTCGATTGTTTTTAAATTTAAAAGTTCTTCTTTATTTTATTTTCTTACATTTCTTGTATATATAATTTATCTGAATTATATTACATAACAGACGAAATTGAAACGTTCTTTGGAATCAAAACTTGCGGGCGACTTTACACGTTGTTCAAAACTTGCGGGCGACTTTGCACGTTGTTCCTAAAGTGTTTGGTATTTCTTGTGCAAAGGGAACAAGGAATAGAATTTCGTCAAATACTGAAGCTGGCCTCTCTGTCAGTAAATGAACCTGAAATAAACACAAAAAATACAAGAGTCAAGAATTATGAGTAACTTTGATTCATGGTTAAAGAAATGCATGCGCATTGAATGCGAATTTGTGTAAAATACACCGACAATATAAAATACATTTCCATATCATGGAATTATAAATATATGTACAGTCGTTTCTAGACTTACAAGTTTGCTATCGTCACTAAATAGGTTAAAATGATCCAGATTTCCAGATTCATATAGTTTGTGTTTTTTATTCTGACTGGAATTTCTTCAAATAAAGTGAGTAAAAACCTTGAATAGAAAGCAATATCCACATCTATTATTGATTTTTATTTAAATATCTACGGTTTCCTAATACCAGAATCCAGCCTTTTCTACTTCTTATGCTTTAAATGCTTATTAAGTTAGATTTCATATGTTGTTTGAAAGTGTTTTATTTGCACATTTGAACATTAAGATACTTTACATATGTGGTGTAAAAGGAAATCGTGTAAAACAAAATCAATAAAAAACTGAAATTTCACGCCAGGTAAAAAAACACTTTTTAGAAATATAATCACAATTTTCAACAACTACTTTTTATACAACCGAAAACTGTTTTACTTTGAAATACTGTAAAAGCTACTTTTTATAATGTGTTACATAATGAGCAATACCGTTCGTTCGCCTAGTGTCTTAAATATTTCTAAAGCATTTCCAGCTTTTCTGGAACTAAATACAGCTTCTGCTTCTGCCTTCCAGATTCCCAAAAGTTCGGCTGCTGCTTTATCTATAAAAATAAATTGGATTGAAGCTTAGATTAAGTGTAACTTTAACCAAACTTATCTCAGGAGGTGGACATACCATTACATCTAACTTACTCAAAATTGGTTTAGTTTATCGGTATGAGGTTTGCTACGGAAGAACAACTGACTTGAAAACCAATTCCAGTATTGCTTTTCCGCTGTCCCTCTAACTACTGGGTGAATAATAAACCTCTCAACCGAAACAATATCCGTACCCGCACATCTTTCTATTTTAGGATCTTCCGTGACGGAGGTAGTGTGTGAAGTTGTCAAAAGAAAGCTGAATGACATCTCTCTGTACAAGAGTCGATTGCTGTAAACTATTCAGTAACTGCTTGTTTAGTCCGTGTATTGCTGGACAAAATAGACATTTAACTTTCATCCCGACCTTTTCCAGTAAATTTGTTGATCAGTTTTTGAACAATACCAAAGTCCTGACATGTATTTTATATTATTATTTTTCAAATCCAAATAAAAAAATCATTTACAAGTTGCTTAATGAATAACTTACCGCCAAAGTTTATATTAAATTCACAGTAGATTATTTCCGCTGATTGTTTTAGCGTATTTCCTTTTAGAATGGCCGTTTCGTTACTAACACCGAGCGTTTTTATCGCAAAGTTTGCATAATCAACAACCGGTTCTGATTCATAACCGAATGAATTTTTGCTTGATAAAATTGACAGACGACGTTCCAATTCTGCACTGTTCTCAACATTCATCACTGGAACAAATACAATAATATTGATTTAAAACATGAAAATAAATCACTAACCAAAAAAATATCAAATTATGAAATTTTAAATTTTGCCGATCATAGTCTAATCACAGATCAGTTCTATAGTTGTTTGTGAGTTAACATGACTTTTCTTGTATCAGTAACTCTCGGACCATCGTACTTACACTCAAAACCGTTACCGATTCTTCTTTTTTCCCAAAGGAATGATTTAATTTAGAATTTTTAAAAGCGAATTAATAAATTCTAGTCATTAATACGAAATTCGAAAATTTTGGTTTACTTCTCTGTTATAAATGTAATTATCACAAACTGGCCGTAAAGTAAATGCATATTTCTGATTATAAATAAATATTCTTTCATTCTTTTCTTTTTAATAAAATATTTACCTACCAACTATAACTTTTGGCTCACCGACGACCTGAAATCAAGAAAAGAATATTTTAAAAATCGACAATATTCGACAATCGTTCGGAATTTAATGTTGTTATCTTTCATAAATGTTAATACCTCCTTAGATCCTATTAAGATTTATACGTTTTTTAGCAAACACTCTGTTGCGATATGTATAAACGAAACATATTTTTCTTCTGAAGCGATCTAGATACTTTGAATGTGTAAAAATTATAAAATTTCTGCTTTTCATTTATAAATTATGAAATTCATTTTAAAGTCAAGTATGTATATAAAATTGGCAAAGAAGAAATGAGCCGCGTCACGACAAAACCAACATAATGGGTTTGTGACCAGCATGGATCCAAACCAGCCTGCGCATCCGTGCAGTCTGATCAGGATCCATGCTGTTCGCTTACAAACCCTATTACAAGTAGAGAAACTGATAGCGAACAGCATGGATCCTGATCAGACTGCGCGGATGCGGAGGCTGGTCTGGATCCATGCTGGTCGCAAAAACATTGTGTTGGTTTTGTCATGACGCGGCTCAAATGTACCTTAAAGTTTAGAAAACACTTTGCACCCTTCGTTTTTGGATCACACAGAGCTCGTTTGATATTTTTCACGCTCTGTCTAAAGTCTGTACGTCCATTTTTGGAGATATCAATCGTGAGGAAATACCTTAACGCAACATTCATGCCCTCAACATTGTCTGTGCAACTGCAAACGTTCGAAAAACTTTAATTAACCTTTCTTTTTCAATGTCATGTGTGAAAAAAAATGTTAATCATTTATCAGTTGCATGTGTATGGTTTAAATATGATAATACGTTCAATGGAAAATTAAGTTTCCAAAACATGTACGAGGACCATATCAACGTACCTTTCTTTGTTACCTAAAGATCGTGTTTAAATCAGTTATAGTATCGTATGTAACTTGGTGAAAGTTCGTACGTGATTAAGTTACTTCTAGTTTATATTTTCCTGATCTACTAGTAGTTCGTACTTAACTGAATTATTTATAGTTCGTATTCTGCTTTGTATATTACTTAGTTACTTATAGCTCGTACGTAATCTAGTTACATCAAGTTCGTGCGTTACTTCGTTACATATAGCTCATTTACATGTAACTTAGTTATGTAAATATAACTCGGTTACGTATTGATTGATTATAGCCCGGTAACTTATAGTTCGTATCTTACATCTGGGTAGAACTTCCGATGTTCATAGAGATAGCTTGATAGTTTCATCACATTAGAGAATTCAAAAGCCATGAAGAGATTTGAACGTACAGAAGTGAGGAGCAAGTGGTTTAAAGTCAACGACCTAAGCAACCCGGCCTTGGACGTACTAAGATATACATAACTAGTATGCATATTCATCATTTGCTTATGATTTATATATTGTCAAGTGACGCATGTTAGTATGTTAGCCAGTAACTCATACACTACGTAACTCAATGTGTAAGTTTCATAGCACCTCATGGCTAGTAGGTTCCGTAGCAACTCATGGCTAGTAGGTTCCGTAGCAACTCATGGCTGGTATAGTCCTAAGTAACTCATGGCTGCTTAATTCCGTAGCAACTCATGGCTGGTATAGTCCTTAGTAACTCATGGCTGCTTAATTCCGTAGCAACTCATGGCTGGTATAGTCCTGAGTAACTCATGGCTGCTTAAATTCCGTAGCAACTCATGGTTAGTATGATCCTTAGCAAGTCATGGCTAGTATGATCCTTAGCAAGTCATGGCTAGTATGTCCCTTTACAACTCATGGTATGTTTCTTAGCAGTTCGTGGCTTGTAAATTTCAAAGCAAATCATGGCTTCTGTAATTCTGAGCAACTCATGGCAAGTATGTTTTGGCTACTCTGTTTCTTAGCAACTCTTGGTTAGTAAGTTTCCTAGTAACTCGTGAATAGTATGTTACTTAAGGGTTATTATGTTACTTAGTTAGTACTTAGCTACTCATGATACAATGAAATTTATAAAAAATATAACACTACTTACTACCATAACATTACTAACGGAAACAGAAAACCCAACATTTTAAGTACGAAACCCATCTTCTGAAACAAATCAAATAATTATAATTAACAAATTATTATATCTTATTGAAAATGTAAAGTAATACAATTGAAACACATATTGATGTTACCATAATTACTGCCTAGACATTTTGATTAAAAGTGGTGCAAGTCAATCCGGCTCCTATTCACCCCGGCCTTAAGTCAATTCGGCCCACATTAGTCAATCCGGCCCAAAATTAGTCAATCCGACCCCAAGTCAATCTGATTTCTTGTCCAACCGGCCCCTTATTTATTATTAATTATTTAGCATAACGTTTTCTTTATAAACCTTTCGACTCACGGCCGGTTGTGGGGCCGCATTGACGAACAAGGAATAATGTGGGGTCAGATTGAACAATTACGGGACCGGACTGACTTGGGGCCGGATTGATGCCATTCATTTAAACGATACATTTTTACTTCACAGTTTTCAGATGACAGTTAAATTTTAACTTTGAACTATATTTTTCACATTAATAAGTCGGTAGTCTATTATCTGAATGTGGACGTTAGGAGTATAATCATCATATTAAGTAAGTGGATAAATCGTCAGATATACGCTCCGTCGTAAGTAACATGTGCTTGATTACAAGAAACAAACGAAAATCTGAACATATCATATTAAAAATAACAAAAAATACACAATTCTTGAAGTTTTACGGTATTATTTTTTAAACAAGAACAATTTGACGTCATGTTTTGATGATTTTGTGAACGAGAATGCTCTTTTTTTGGCGGCAAGAAATAGTGAAAATGACTTCAAACCACAAGAATGGGCTATCACGTGATATTTTTACGGTTGCTTTAGGTCTCTGCTAATAGTTTTTTAGTTCAATTCACAATATAAATTTCCATTTTGTTTCATATATAAGTTGAATATACTTGAACACGAATCAAGCACCGGCTATCGAAAAAAGGAACAGCAGACAATGTGAATGTTAGATTCTTGTAGTCTGTCAAATAAGGAAATACCTTTTTTTAAAGTGTACTTGAAATGTTACCTTTTTAGACTAAGATGCGTTCCTGAAATAAAGATAATATAAAATCAGAATTATATAAAATAAAACTGAAAGAAAAATATTCAAAATAAAAGACTCTTACAATGTTGTTCTAAAATACTCCTTTTAGAAAAATATAACAATTCGATAATTTATTATTTGATATTAAAACTCTCAATTTTTGTGCTTCAGGGTATACATGTCAGAAATAATTGAGAATATTGTAAGCAATTAAATGATAACAACTAATAACTAAAATGTATGATTTTAGATAACAACTTACACGTAAGAATTGCTTTTTTTCAATACAGTTATTTAATAGCGTCTATAGTTACAATAAAATCAATATTTTAAATTCTGAAAGTCTAAATTTATAGTTATGATATAAAGTAACAAAATAAATACTGAATATTCATTGTATGCAAATGTAATTGCACGCGATACATACATTCTGTGCACGCGGAACATACATTATGTGCACGCGGAACATACATTCTATGCACGCGGAACATACATTCCGTGCACGCGGAACATACATTCTGTGCACGCTGAACATAATTTTTTGCACGCGAAAAATACATTCTGTGCACGCCGAACATACATTCTGTGCACGCAGAACATACATTCTGTGCACGCGGAACATACATTCTGTGCACGCTGATCATACATTCTGTGCACGCTGAACATACATTCTGTGCACGCTGAACATATATTCTGTGCACGCAAAATATACAACTGTGCATGTGGAACATACATTCTGTGCATGTGGAACATACAGTTTGTGCACACGGAACATTCATTCTGTGCACGCGAAACATACATTCTGTGCACGCGGAACATACACTCTGTGCACGCTGAACATACATTCTGTGCACGCGGAATAAACAATCTGTGCACGCGGAACATACATCATGAAGACGCGGAACATATTTTCTGTCCATGTGGAACGTACTTTCAGTGGACGAACAAGAGCACGGTAAATTCCTTTTTAAGCGTAAGAACATGGGAGCAGTACACAGATTCTGTGGACGTACGTGGACGTGGTAGACGTACTTGAGCTTTAACATAATTATATTCCGTGAACATTCAGTTTATAGACGTGAGGGGACGCAGAACATACACAACTCCATAGACGAACATGGATGTTGTACGTAAATTTGGTAGACGTACGTTGGAATGGTATATACATTTTATGACGTATGTAGATATGGTACTTTTAACAACCATACATGAAGAAATTAAAACATTTAGATAAAATATCCCTCATTTGAAATGGCTCCTTTTCTCAACATCTTTTAAGGTCTCTTTCACGCAAAACTAATTTTAATACAAAATTATTATTCGAATACAACGTAATCTTAGGTCAGAGTAAGTTGCAACAGAAGTCTGTATTATATTAAATGATAATTGATTATGTTTAATCCTAAATTGTTGTCAGTTGGAATTAAAGTTAACTATATATGTATATGATAAACAAAGTATAATCTTAATTATCATAAGATAACCACTCTGCGTCGGAAGGAAAAAAATATTGAATACGACTATTCAAATGTACTAGACGCAATACTGCTTGTACAATTAGCCAAATACGTTGTGTCGAAAAAAAACATTTCAACAAAGTCAGATGGAATTGAAATGAAAAGGAATTTCTGAAGATACAAATGATACCAGGCAATAAATTGAAAATTGAAAAACGCAAGTACAATAATCACTTCAGCAATCTGTCAGTGTTAATGAACATGCCGGACATGTTGTTTAAACACTTCCACTATCGATGTTCGTCTTTTTTATTTTTGAAAAGAAAAATCGATCCGCTTAGTTCGATTTTGGCATTTAAATACTTCTTTAGATATACATGTATATTTGTTTTATGTGAATGTATAAAATCAAAACTTGAGGACAACTTTGCAAACGTTGTTTTTAATGTATTGGGTATTTCTTGGACATAGGGTTCATAAAAAATGTATCCGATCAAATGAAGAGAATGATGAGGCGGACCAGTCGGTCAGAATGTGATCCTGAAATAAATGGGGGAAAAAGAGTGAAAATGTATATATATGTGAAAATCTACAGATGAAATATTACCCATTTCTGACAAAGAGGCAATTCTAAAATTAATAGTAAATACTTCAGTGATGAAAAACCAACTTCAAAACTGTAAAATCAAACATTTTTCCAAAGTTTTTCTAAAATGTTCCTATTTGGAAATTCTCACAATGCAATACAAAATGGACTCGCCATTTTTGTGCTAAAGGATATTCATATCGAAAATAATTACCAATCTGGTGAAATAAGAGTCATTTGTGTATCCAAACCTAATTACTGCATGTATGAATTTCTGTTCCTATCATTGATAAACCAGGCAATATGATTCGGGACACAGTCCAGAGGAAGAGTTGTGATAGCGGGAAATCCAAGTTTGTTTCTACTTTCCGTCCGTCCGTCCCTGCACTGAAAGGCTTCTTTGTCTCGATAAATTCATTTTTAAAGGGACTCCACCGAGGGTTTTTGACTTAGCGATGCTGGAAATAATTGTTCGATATTAATGTTATATTAGATGTAGGTCGAAATCAATATATTGTTTGAAAAATTTCAGATCATTCGCCCTATCTTTCCTTTTTTGTTGTCAGGCGTTAGGCTCAAAAAGAAAATATGATTTAAAATAGAACAAAATTAATGTAAAAATGACATGTTACTTTTTACAGTTTTGACCGGTAAACAATTTGCTTGGTCGATAATATGAAAAGCTTGTGAATATAACTTTATTGACTTCTGTCTCACATATCTTTACTCTTATTGATATTGACTATTGGCATGTTTGCCGCTCCTATATTAATTTTAATACAAGTATTAGTAACCTAGTATGTTTGTCATTTATCACATTTTAATTAAAGATAATTATCAATTTTTAGTAACGTTTTTTGCCTCCGGTGTTGACCAAAAATAATATAGAGAAATGATATAGGAGGTAAAAAAGCCTAAAAATAAAAAGTTTGAATTTTACATAGATAAAAGTATGCAATTCATACTTAAAAGATCGCAAAAGATGATAAAGAAATATACTCAGAGTTGAATTGAAACCCATGTCTTATTCCGACTCTAAGGCTAGATTGTTTGGAAAAAAAGCAACAGCACATGTTAGGTGTTTTCATAAAGGCATTATTCTACTTAGGGACTTTAGGCATCTGAGGCATCTTCCTCCGACAATAAAGCGGGTGAACGTCTGCTTTGTTTGTGGGATGTAAATCCAAACCAAACAAAAACAAAAATCCTTGCACTTCGTAATGTTATGAAAAAGTACAACCCTGATCAAATGATTCTTTTGCTCATTGTGAAAAGACAATTTTGCTAGTGGTGCATGTAATGTGCGTGTTTCCATGTCTGATTATTTTGCTAAATTGCAGTTCTACATTAAATGCACTTATGCAAACTAGTGGCATTATTTATTAAATAGGTTATCAAAGTGCCTTGCTATTTCTGTATGTTACACCGGTATATAAACCAGTTCATCTGAAGTAGGTCTTCTATATCTTTGCTTTGCAATACATTGAGGTAAGAATGTTTGAAGATTTTTTAAAAATATTTTTGGTTATTGATAATAATACTTTCATTCTATACAATACATGTACTGGCAAAAATCCTTTAGAAATCTCATTGCCTCCAGTTCAGGTAATATTCTCATTGACTATTACATTTTGCTTGATTTAGGCAAAATTTGATCGATAATTCCATTGTGTCAAATTCAAGAAATGCTCTCGTTGATAATTGAGGCAGTCATTTTGTCTCATTTAAAACTGCATTGGTTTTATGTATGCATTTTTTTTATTTATTTTTTTTTCAATTTATGTACAAGTTGGTTAGGTCTCTAAATCACTATATCTCATCGTTAACTGCCTTAAGGTTGTTTATTTTCGAAAAAAAGTACATGTATTTGTGTTTAAATTTCAATATGTAAAGACCGAAGTTCGACCAAAGAAATCATCAAACTAGCACTGAACTTTGTTGCGAAACAGTACTTTCAACACACGCGTATTATCTTCTTAGGTCATTCGGTCCAAATGTGATATTTATTTTAGAATTTTGTTCGAAAAATTAATGGAAAATCTTTCATTTGTGTAGATGATATTTTCGCATGAATTTAGAAAGGATAGACTGTCTTATAGAGCTTCATTCCATCTTAACGTGTTTAAATCTTATAACCATTCTTATAATTACCTCAACTATTCGAATACTAGGAAGACCTACTGTACTCATTTAGGTTTCAGCGTCGCTTTTTGCGTGCAAGATGTTATCTCCAAAACTACTGAAGGACAGGTTGAACCTTCACACAAATTTGATAGTAAAATATGTCACTGTCGCAGGCCAATAGCACTAACATGAATTTTTAATTTGGACAGAATCATGGTCCCTTTTTAATTTAGAAAATTATACATGATCTAGGCTCTTGTTCAACTATCAATCACTGAAAAGTCAATCACGTTATCCTAACGACTGGTCTTATTTAACTATGATACTACTACAAGTATGTTTGTTCAATTGATTTGAATCACGCCGACAACATAGTGTTCACGTGACAATTTTCAAGCTTTCTATTTTTTTCAAACGTAAACGTGGCTAGAAGCTTGCAAGACAAAGAAGGGAAGAATATTAAGTAGCACCTTTCATTAAGGCGTTTTGTTTGAAAAAGTGTATCTGCTTATATTTTAGGGAGTCACCATGTTTGCAAGGTTCTGTCTCGTATTGCTGATAGTCTGTGTGACTGTAGGGTCAATATCTGCTGAAAGTAAGTGTTTAAATTACAGGTACTGACATAGCTCTTTTGCACTATATATATTTAAATAGTTATGATTTTTATAGCTAAAAATATATAAATATCTTTATTAATTTAAGTGCATGAAGGGATTTTTATTCATCTTGAAAGAGAAATATATTATTTCTGTATTTTGAAATGATTTATATCTGATTTATATTTATATCATTGAGTTCTGTTATTGCTTTAATTTGTAAATCTTATTTTTCTTTAATTTATATAAATCCATCTTGTGTTACTTTTTCGCAAATCGTATCGAATTTCCTACAGTTTTAACGGGAGAGTTTTTGACTTACGTCCTGAAGTTCCACATTTATATCAGTGTAATTGTTTCAAAAGGGCGACATTTTATTTCCATAGATTCGAGGAGACCATTTTCCAGTTCAACTGTGTTTATAAACTTTTTTATTTTGTTTCCATAGTTTCAAAGAGATATTCATGTGACCATGGAGGAATAAGAGGGTGTTCCGCACACTGTTACGGACAAGGTTACTCACACAGCTTTTGTGACGACAACAATAACTGCCATTGCTCCAATCATGGCAAATAGTGAGTAAGATACTTTTTTGTACCCTTGTACCAGCACCAATAGTGAATTGCCCTATATTTGTCACTTGTATTGAGCAAGACAAGCCCACACATCTGTGCTTGATCAGTTTCATTAATGTTAGCTACATTATTACATCTTCTTCATTATCATCATCGTCATTACAATCATCATCGTAATTATTTCCATCACTATCAACATCATGATCATGAGCATCAACATCATCATTTTCATTTCCATCATCATTGTCGTTCTCATCATCGACTTCGACTCCTCTTCAGCATTATCACCTTTATCCTCATATCACCACCATCATAATCGTCGCATCAACGCCATCATCACCAAACAACATCATCATCAAACAACATCATCATCAACATCATCGTTATCATTACAATCATCATCATCATCAACAATATTAGCATCATCATCATCATCATCAAACATCATCATCATCAACATAATCATCATCATCAAACATCATCATCATCATCATCATCAACAACAACATCATCATCAGCAGCAGCGGCAGCATCATCATCATCATCATCAAAAACAATAACTACAACAACAGTTTCTTATTCTGTTTCAGTATGGACAGTTTTAGTTAGATAACACAGTAGCTGTATGACTGTATTATATCGTTAAATAACTAGCATTTGTCAAGATAAGCATTTTGGTCTAGATTTGTATAGTAATGTTTCAAATGTTAATATTTTGTGTCATAACATGTGGTTTTGCAAGTTAATTGTTGATGTGTTTTAGCGAAACATCTTGTTTAGCGAAACATAAAATGTACAGATGCAACAAATCGGAATATAGTAAACAAATAGCATTTGTAATACCGGGACCAGGGATGAATGTTGCACGAATTTTACGAATATAAACATTTCAAATGAAATAGCATGAATTGTGGGTACTAGATATAAATCAATCTAATCTATACATCATACTTTAGTTGTGTAATAATAAATAGGATACATTTGTACCATTGAAATTTTTTATCTTTTCAGGCAGTGGTTTACATGATGAAATGAAAGTTTAACAGTTGATGCTACCAATAAAAGTTATTTAAAGAAATTAGTTGTCTTAGTATCGTTGCTGGTGTTGAGTTGTCCTTTACAAAACTGGCTAAAATTGTTCCTGTTTCAATAAAAAAAATGCTTCTAGAGCTAAAATAAGAATCATCATTTACAATATCTCGTCCATAACCGCTGGATATATTTTAATGAAATTCAATTATGACCCATCTGTCATTTTATGATGATGATGATGATGATGATGATGATGATGATAAAGATGATGATGATGATGACGACGACGACGACGATGATGATGATGATGACGATGATGCTGACGACGTGGACAAGGGTGACGATGATGATTATAATTATGGCGATGACTCAATTTCATAAAAAAATATTGAAAATGTGATGGGAAGCACGCGCAAAGGGGAAAGACTTGTCGGATTATGTTTACTGAGTTATATCAACGTTATCTCCCTTGATACATTTTCGGGTTACATGAAATGATGTATTTGTCGTGCATTCACATTTTGGATGAATTGCCGGCCTTGTAAAAACTTTACAAACGTAAAATTTTCAATGAAAAACATTTATTTGGCCAATCAGTCGCAAATAATATAAAAGTTATCTTGTGTATGTTAACTATTGATGGCATTTACTCACTTCATCAAACGATCATAAACCATTGTATTTAAGTCCAAACTTCTCTAAGTTATTGTAGATATTTAAGCAATTAAATAATTTATATGTCTTATGAGATAAAAAGTCATGTTCAACAAATTGCCCTGTCCTTTACAAATTGACAAGCTTGCAAGGACCATAGGAAAATTCATCTTTTTCTATATTTTCTTGATGTTCTTACTGTTTATCTCCTAATGGAATAAAAAAGGGACAACCTGAATTGGGGCATATTTTTTTTATGACCGAGGATCCCGTGACAAACTAGATAAGGATGTCTGACCAAGAACGCAGTAATAAACTGAATTTTGGTTAATGACCATGACCTTCAGCGCAACTGAAACTCTGGATCATATGATCTCAGAGACCATTACAACTGTTGGTATTATTTGATTTGTGATGACAATTCTTACCAAAAGCACTCAGTCTAGTTAGTGACTTTTATAAATCAATACCATGTAATTATGTTTAAATGAGACAGAAGTGCTGATACCTTTACGATAATTCCTTATAATTTCTCTATAATTCAAGCACTATGTTAATTGCAAATTTATTATTCAATGTTCGTACACCAAGTCTATCACAGAGGCCACCGACAAAACGCTACACGAATGACGGTAAAATAATAGTGTTTTACAACGAAAAGGGACAAAAATCTCATTTTATAAAAAAAGGCATTAAGACCTATAAATATTACATTTTTATGGGTGTTTTTTTTTCTAAAATGGCTCGTTTCATCACCTTTGCCATTGATCGTCATAGTCATTTAGTTTTTTTTGTCAAATAGTGAGTACGGTATGACAATATACTGAAATGGACGATAAAAATTAACGTTATAATTGTAAAACTTTAGGATATATATCAACAATCTCAGAATTTAGGTCATAAACAAATGGAATGACAGATATGCCGTGTTGCTCCAAGAATCTTAGGCAAGTAAATATACATAATGAGTTAATCCGTAATAAAGTCACTGTGATCAAAAGAAAACAAAATCTATGTTCACATTAACAACTTTTATTACACATATTGGACTATTTCCATGTAATATACAATGTAAGTTTATTATACTGATTGTCTCATACGTGGTGGCTCGTCTTTAAGGTAGAAAAAAGATTAATCGAAAGAATACACTTTACGCGGAAAGGTTAAATTTCAATCTAGTGCGAAAAGGAGATAATTTCACACTTCAAAACACTGAAAATTCAATGTTTGCTTTGGAAAGTGTGTATGTTTATATCATACCACGTGAATTCATACAGATTTTAGAATCACATGTCTATAATGATTATAAAACAATAAAAGCATCTACAATTATTTGGTAACATTTTTTTTTAAAAAAAGGACATCATAATGTTTATAGGCATTTAAGTTTTGAACATGTCAAAGATAAAGACAAAATGTATGAATTTTAAACAAACAAATCATGTGTGTTTGATCCGGTACATTACAAAGAAACCGCGGTGGCCATCTTTGTCATACATCTTGAAGTAAATCATTTTAAACGAAACTTTTTTTCCAAATTGGCTACATAATTTTGACCACTAGATAAGTGAATGCCATCTGTATTATGTAAGTTAAAAGAAAACGGTTTCACTGCAAATCATGAGTGGAAAATGTACGCAAAATGTATATATTTCTTCACTTTATAGAGTACGAAATTATTGAGTACGAGCTCTGGTAACTAAATGTACACTGCGCATGTCGGTTCATACAGGCTAACATTAACTGATGCAAACAAACCACTATAGAGACGTATCAGATAAAGAATTGCACCAGAACATTATATACACAACAGTTACACAAATAATATACATTGACAACCAATGAAATCCACAAATAACAATGTTTAAAAATATATGTAATGCTAAGAAAAGAAAAAAAAAACAGTTTAACGATATAAATTTCTGAATAAATAAAGTATTGGCTGAATAGGCTTCAGTCCGACACTTCATGCGCATGCGCTGTAACTTTTACAAATCACGAGTTTAAATATAGAAAAATATACACCAACATTCACAAATATATGACAGAAATACATAAGTATATTTATATACCCAAACTGTTCTTAGCAAGTATTATGCCCATATGCGGTTAGTTTCTTTGATCAAATTTCTACAAAAATAATTTGTTACCCAATGAGTTCAGTACCTTAGTTCTGAATCTTGGTTCCACAACAAACCATGCTTATCCCAAGCATTTCAAGTAAAATATACCAGAAGCTTCATTCGCAATATAACAATAGCAATACTAACAAAGCTTTTTCACAGTTCACTTATAATGCGCACACGTTTTTTTCAATAAAATATAATGCGTCTTATACACGAGTTCGTCTTATGCACGAACAAATTGCCGAAAAGAAAAAGTAGCAAGTCGACTCACACTTTTTAACACAGTTTATTTTGGCTGAGTACTTTTCCATTTCATTTTCAGTTAAATTAATCATATGAAGTCATTATCTTCCGAGTTATTCTACACCACTCTTTTCGCGTAAATATATCAGTTTCATCGTTATGTCTTCGCAGTCGTTACTCAAAAACGAGTCAATACTAAGTCTTCAAAGACCGTCAACAAAGACCGTCAACTAAACAGTTTAAAAAAATACTTAATTAATTAATATCTACACTAAACACCAAAGAAGAATCCTCCTTCTTTACTGTGAGTTCTGGTATATCGACGCGAATCTCTTTCCCGATTATTGGTGTACGAGTCATCGCTTTGTCGATCTTTTTGTTTGTTTTTTCTCCGCCTTCTATCACGTGATCGTGATATGTCTCTTTTGGGTGGGGATCTACTCAAATCGCCCGCCCCAATGTCAATTTCACAAACAAATCTTGCTTTTCGTTTGCTACATATTTTATTTCGCCATTTCCTCTTTTTATCAACGATGACACAATTTTTCTTGGATAGATTTCGTTTGACCCGTTGACCCCCGGCTTTCCAATTAGAATAGGAAAGTGCCTCCCCGTTACTGTAGCTCCACCTACCAGTGTCTTCGTTACTGCTCAAACCTGAAAAAAAGCAATTGCAGACAACGTTATCTTTATTGTTGTTGTGTTATTCGTCGCACCACTGAATAGGTTAAAAGGCGATCTTTCAGCCTTATTAGTAAAGGACGTCTTCAAGCATCAATCCGTGCATCATTTCATAGACGGAAAAATACCCGAGTAAAACCATCGACGTCCCGTTAGCTAACTGGATAGCTTCATCACATGAAGGAATCTGGCCCTGGTGCGACTGATAACATAACACAAAGTCACATAAAATGAAAAGAATAATCTTATACTTTACTAGCAGAACACCAAGTTCGGTTTTATAATATAAATAAGGTAGATGATTTGCTAATTCGGATTAATTACATCGGCGGAATCAAACTGAGCTTACCTATCCAGTAGGCCTTCCTCCCGGCTAACTGTGACACCCAGATCTGGTGATCATGAGACTGAACTGTGGCTAGGTTGGAGCCGTATGACATCTGACAGAGCGTCTCGGCTACCTCCCACGTGAGTCGCTCATTAATAAACTTAAAACACCGGTTCCCATATTTAGACCAACCTATATAAACATAAAAGTGACTGTTAGTACATGTACTGTCAAAAACATATATCAATATTCTCAAATCTATAATACATGTTATGCAAAAAGAGTTTTACAATTTTGACTGGTTAACACGCTCTTTATCATATACGGGTTAGTTCCGTATATACGGTCATCCATAAGCGCCCCGCTTTAATCCGTATGTGTTTTAGTATAAGTTTAAAACATACCTTGTTGACATTCTCTGGTTTCTGGCTGCTGATCTTGATTTGAAGCCGGGCTCCATGCCTGCCATGCAATGCCATTACATTTATACATTTGTTGTGTCCCGGGGTCAAAGTACAGTAAGCCCTCAGTGGTCAAAGTGCAATCTTGTGGTGCCTGTTGTTAAAAAAAGAATGGTCAAATTTGCAGATAAAATAAGATTTAAAAAAATAATACCGGTATTTTCATTTTACGTCAGATACCGGCGTTTGAAACTAACGTGTAGGTATGTACTCTGCATTTTTAAATGACTTGTATACAAATGTTTCTAATACAATTGATGGCATATTACCTTACTTAAAGTTTTGGTTCCATGACAAAATAAGTCGTTATAACTTATAGAGTCTAGTCTAACATCAAGAAACTGACAACTATGCATTGCCTACTGCCATTAGGGATCATCAAATATTCCATCTTATTCATATTAAGGGACCTAAAAATAAAGGGGAAGTGTTAATTTCTTTGTACAATATTCATAAAAATCGTACGTTTATATCCACATTTTGCATCAGCTGTCCCGACACAAAATTTCCATTTCCATTTGCCGTGTCTGTTACTTTTTCTTCTTCTTGCACTTCCCTGTTCTTATTCTTTCTTCTTCCTTTCCTTGTCTTCTTCTTCTTGTCTTTTCTCTCCTTTCTCTTTTTCCTTCTTTTCTTCTTATCTTTCTTCTTTGTTTCGGTTGGATTTTCATCACTATCAGTAATTTTTGGTTTATGTACAGCAACATCACTAGTTTCTGCAGGATCTGAGAGAAGGGTGTTATCGTGGTGCGACTTTTGCCGAGATAACCGGTTAAATTGGTTACCCTGTAAACAGAAGTTCTAACAGCTATATTTAAGCAAATTTTTCAAAGTTGAAATGCAACACAAAATAGAAACAACTACTCAAAATGTTTGCACATGCATAGACTCAGTTACTCGGTCATTGGGCCGCAATAATAACATGATAGTATAATTAAATACTATATAACATGCATCACAAAGGTATGTCAACATAATATGAGTACGTATTTAAGGCCTAAATAAATTCTTAGGGCCTGGTGGTTCATTCGAATGGAAAAGCTATAGTTTTGATCACCCTTTTCTGCCTTAGGTTCTACAAGGTCGTGCCTTAAACCTAAAGCCTGCTTGTGTGAACTGATTATACCCAAGATCAATCGGCACAACAATGCACTCTGTTCATGGTGTGCGCTGATCATTCAGTCAGTAAATAATTTGATATTTTCCATAAAATAACGGATTGATTTTGTCTAGTTTTAAAGATGTTAATGATTGGCAAGTCCATTTGAGAGAGTATGCGCGAAAGTGGTTAACAAAGAAAATGGTATTTTCTCAAACTGCCAGGCTAAGGCCAAGTTAAAGAATAACAAACAAAAGATGTGACACAGAAGTAAACAATAAACCATACCATAATGACGGTCTCTGTCTCACTTTCTATTGAGTTATCAGGTAGGTAGAGGGAGTCTGGTATAGATGGCTGGTGTTTACTTATCATACCAATAAACTGTGGACATTCTCCTGTAAATATAATAACTTCAGTATAAATAATGCCACATTTATATCAACGAAATAAGTTGTTTATGTATATTTTCATATTCAATTATATATTCATTGCATGTTCTCGGTTCGTTTGATGTGTTTTCGTGAAGTTTTTTTTTTCATCTTTTATTTGTTTGTATATATTGTTAGTGGTTGTTTCTGCTGTTGTTGTTGATCTTGTTTTTGTTGCTTTGAATCAAATTTGTGTCCTTTACTTACATATATATTTAAATAAATACCTTCTAAAGTAAGATTTTTTTTATTAATGATTTTTTTCGTAAATATACCAGGTTGCACTGGAGCGTGTTTGTAGTGCAATAAGCAAAGTATTCATAATAAGGCACGATGCTTCAAAATTTGAATAATATCACAATACTTCCACCATAAAAGAATATATTTCTTTAAAAGAAATCCTTTACTAAAATACCTGACATAGAAAAAGTACATTTAAAATAGTTATACATGTATATACAGACGTACCGTCGTTGGCGTTGATAAGACGGATTCTGACTTTACGTTTTCTGCCGAGTATTGCGTTCACTGGGTCATCAATGTAAACTACGAGGTTTTCTGTGTTCTCCTCAATACCATCGTCAAAAACCTGTATATTCCACGTGACAGTCGATACACCTGCAAATAACAACAACATTAACAATAAAACTGTAATTAAAATATAGCATTTTGCATTAATCTTTTTTACATGTATTTTCATTCATTCATTCATTCATTCATTCATTCACTGACTCACTCCATTATTTAATATGTAGTTGCCAAAACTCACTAACTCACACTATTATAAAAATACGTAGTTGCTAAAACTCACTCACTCACTCCATTATTTTAATATGTAGTTGCCAAAACTCACTCACTCTATTATTAAAATATGTAGTTGCCAAAACTCACTAACTCACTCCATTATTGAAATATGTAGTTGCCAAAACTCACTAACTCACTCCATTATCCAAATATGTAGTTGCCAAAACTCACTAGCTCACTCCATTATCAAAATATGTAGTTGCCAAAACTCACTAGCTCACTCCATTATCCAAATATGTAGTTGCCAAAACTCAGTAGCTCACTCCATTATCAAAATACCTAGTTGCCAAAAATCACTAACTCACTCAATTGAAAAAATACGTAGATGCCAAAAGCATTACAACTTGTGCAAATCATACGAAAACCTTATCATTCATACTGTCTTTCAGTTTGACATTGACAACGATGGATATTCGAAACAAAAATACCTGGGTCAAATTGAACCTGTCTGGACGAGCTCGGCCTGTAATCGTCATTCACTCTAGTGGTTCTGTCTTGTGCCTCGATTCCAACAAACGCCACGCCACTGAGGTCACCGCTTCGAGTTAGTGTTATTGGAAGCGTACCGATATTCTCACAAACAACAAGTCCAGCCTTGTCAAGCTCGATGAATGACCAGTGTAAATCAATTCTGAAAATATAAATAATAAAACGGTTCTATCTTAAGAGGTAATGTAAAGGTTGTGTCCCTTTAATATATTTTGTTAATTTGTTTGTTTAAAGTTCAACATAAGTGATAGCATAATAAATACAGTATATGATTCCGACATTATAAAGCAAGGTGAATGCGGTTTGAAAAGAATCTTTTCTATTTTCCATTACTGTTTAAGGTTTCTTTAACAGTTTTGTGAAAAGGAAGTGTTAGGCATTTCTTGTGACAACCCTATCAATATATAACAAGATTGCCAGTCAAATCAAGTACATTTCCATTCCAAAACCAAGTCTCCCTAAAATCAGCAAGTACGTTCTCATTAAACGTTGACAATTATGAAACAGTCTGCATCTTATATAACGTCTCATGTATAAGACTAACTACAAATAGGAACTCAGGGATGCGTTGACAAAGCAATTTTTTTTCTTCTTAAATCTGATACCGCGTAATTAGCAGGGAATGTTGGAAAATCATGGGCGAAAATTGTCTGGATTTTCTCTCAAGATTTTGCCAATAACTCTCTTGTGTAATCAAGCTAGCTCTGAGATTAATGTACCGTTTTAAAAAAAGTAAACTTGTTGCGTATACAGTAGCTGAGCCATTACAAACTTCTTTGATACTTCAGACGTAAATAATTAAAATTAAGCACAGGAACGCAGAATCCTTAGAACGCCGTCGCATAAACTTCCGCAAAGTACTTTAATAGATTTTTCATTTAGTAAATAAAAAATGGGTTTGTCGTAAGATGAACGTTTTGATGGAAAATTAAAATTTGTTCTGGCAATATGGATGTAATGCTTTTAAAAATCAAAATGTATAGTACATTATGTACTTGGTCAGTAGATCACGCCACTTTGGCACATTTATAATGAAGCGCTGGAACGACACCGTCGCATAAACTTCCTCAAAGTCATTTACTTATTAAAAAATGGGTTCGTCGTAAAAAGAATGACGCTGCACATTAAAAATCCAGCATAAATATCATCTGTTAAGAAACTGCCAAACATAATGCTTATTAAAAAGTACAATGTTATGATGTCACAATAAGATTACGCTGTAAACATTTTAAATCCGTAAATTATATTTTATTAGGCATTTCATCGTGCAGTGCTTCCAATTTACGTACGAATGGTTGTCAATCATTTTTCCACAATTTCTACTTGCATGCGACATTTTATACACAGGAAACAACGGTAAAGCCGACAAAAGCAGAACCAAAAAAATATATTAACCCTAAGCCTGATGGTGGCAACAAATTCTGACCATGCGAGCAGTGCAGACCAAGATCAGTCGTGCCGTATGATTATACTCACTTGTAACTATTCAGTCAGTACATATTTTGAAAATACATTTGTATACCTGAAGATGACGAACTATTTTGTCCAGACTGAAAGTTTGATAAGTCCATTTAAGACAATTATCGTGGTAAGGGTTAAGAAATATAATAAACAGATGCTGATATATCTTCTTTTCATGTAATAACACTTCACGTCAAAAGAACAATAGAACGAGGACTTCATAAATCATAAATCACTGCTGATTTAATGTTTTGTCACATGCTCTCATCATAACATGCGATACTTGATATCGTTTTCATGTTCAAATAGTTTTTCTTTAGGTTGTTGAATGAACACAAAAAGATAGTTTATTGTTTACAGCACCTGACTACACCAGAATAATATTTTATGTCGAGCAATTACGAGGCAATTACATCCCCACAGAATGTTGTTTTAATGATTTTTGTAAACAATGTAAATAACTCCACTTTCGAGTGTTGGTGCGAAACTATTAAACACGTACGTGAGACTGGTCTTTTAACGTCTTGGTGAAATAAAACCTACAATTCATTTTTCTTATACGCTCGTTTACACTTACATCTTTTGCATTTCATTTCCTGTGAAAATTGATTTCTTTCCAGATTTCTGTCTAAAGATTTTCAATTTGCAATTGCAACAAAAGACTTTTAAAAATAATGTTTTATATTCCTTAAAGCGAATGATTTTGGTAGGAAATGTTTTCCACAATCGGAAACAAAAGAAATATAACAAACGCATTCGAGTGCTTGTAGCTCAAAATATCCTCTTATCGTCTGCACACAATTCATTAGTGTCAGCGTTTTTTGGCCACAAGGCATGGGGCATAATGTCCTCATTCAGAACAAAAGAGTTCTGATTCGCAACAAAATACACAAAGAACGCCCAGAGAAACGTCAAAACTAAAAAATGTACGCTCATTTTCAAAGACAGTAGTGTACCATCCTCTGTTATTTCAATAGACTTGACCGGGCGGATTGCCCACATATTTTAGAAAAGTCCAGTTGTTACATATTTAATCCTAGTAATTTAACAAATATTTAAACTCAAATGAATAATATTTGATTTTATCTAAAAATTTTGTTAACTTACCTCTGGTTCTTTAAGCTGTTTCCACGACTGTCTTCAATCTTGAACGTAAAGCTGTCATTTGTTTCCCTATTCTTCATATCAATGATAAACTGTAATGCGTTTTCGTCAAGGTCCCGTTGTGTGAACCTTCTTCGGACGTAACGCTTTGCCTCAGTATTTTCCAGATGCCCGTGCTTTGGTCTTTGCTCTATGACGTAAACCAAATTTGTGTTCATTGTATCTGAGTCCACTGCCTTAAGCACGTTGTTATTTAGTTGAAAACCATATCTTCCGTCTTCGAATACCTCAAGAACTTCCGGATGCTGGTTAGTTATTAACTTTGGAGCGTCGTTTACAAGTGGTTTCGTATAAATGCTACAAAACACAGGCTGAAGTTGAAGAGTGCCATTGATTAAGAAACCGTCGTGTTTTCCGTCACTCAATGTGAAAAGGAAATTATCTAAACCCGTGTGTGAGCCATCGCTTTCATACGTGATAAATCCACGGTCAATTGCATTCTGGGTAAAAAGACTTGTAATGTACACACCGCGATTGTAAAGTCTTCCGAATGTTGGTTGCTTTGCAATAAGGAAAGTGACGTTGCTACTGTCAGTATCCGGATCGTCAGCTTTTAATTTGTTTGCCGTTAAAGGAATTTCTGCTCCTTGCAACACTTCTACTAGTTCGTTCGCTACTAGTGACGGCAGTTCTTTATCTAAAGGTTCAATGCGGATAACAAATTCCGAATCTTTTGTGTCACTCATTCCATTTGTTACGGTGAATGTAAACGAATCTTCTGTAAAGTCTGTTTTTGTCAAATGATTGTATACGAGTTTACCAGATGCCAAATCCATCTGAGTAAAACTACTGATCCCGATCAAGTTTCTGTCAATATATTCCAATTGGCCTAAATTTGGTGGTCTGATAACTGCAAATACTATCTCTTCGGCTCTAGTACTTTCGTCAGATGCACTAAGACTTACAGTTGATATTACTGCTCTCTCGCCTTCAACCACATCAATTCCATTATTTATCAAAGCTATGTTAGCTCTCTTTGAATTCAGAACTTTAATTTGGAACGTCTCGGCATGACGTTTATTCTGTCCGTCTGTCAGTATAAACATGAAATTGTCAAACTCCGATCCGCTCATACCGGTTGTATGAAGATATCGGACACGGTTGTTGTTGATATCCCCCTGGGTAAAGTTATGTCCAACCCAAATGTCCCGACATTTGTTAGAATACATACCTTCATTTGGATTATTACAGAATTGGAGGACACCCTTCTTTGGAACCGTGACAATAATGTAATATATTTGATCATCTGTGTTGTCCAGATCTACAGACTGTAGCACGACACTAGACAGTACCGCTTTTTCCCCATAATCCATCGTAAGTCCGGCATTCTTTATAATTTCGGGTCTCTCGTCATTTATTGGCTCAACAGTTACGTTACACACCTTCTTAATCTCGTGCTTACCATCAGACACGGTGATTGCAAATTTATCTGTGTAATGTTCAGAACCGTCGTGTATGTATTTCAGTTTCATTCCCTGGTGAAGTTCACTTGCCGAGAACTCATTAACAGCGGCTTCAATGTCTCCATTCGGTGTATGCAACATCACAACAATATCTCCGTGTTCTGGTGGTTGGGAAATCGATAACATTATCCTTTCCTTGGGCTTGTCCATATCAATAGCGTCTACCATTGACCGATCAATAACGCGGCTACCACCCTCGGCAACGGTAAAATCATTTAGCATTACATCTGGTTCTTCGTCATTTGTAGGTCGTATTGCTATCATAGCGGTGTGGCTGAAAGAATTCAGTTTACCGTCGGTTGCATAAAACTCAAAGCGATCTACTGTTGGCTCAACACCTTTATGAGTTGCTTGAACATAGTTGATAGATTTATCAATAATGTCTTGTAGTTTAAAAGTTCTAACAGGATGTCCTGCGTTGCTTTTCTCCGACCCAGGATTAGGTTTAATGTTTTCCAGATAACCATATTGTGGTTGACTAGTTATTACAAATTGTATGGACTCGGGTTCTGTGTCAGGATCCTTTGCTGTGATATAATCCGGAGACAGGCTGAATTTCATGCCCTCGTCTACAACGATAGGCATGCCAGCTATTATAATAGGTTTCTGATTATCAACCGGTGTTATTGTAATGTTCAGATGGTACTTTGGTAGATCAGCAGACGCTTTGTAATGTTGGTCTGAAACAATAAACGCTACAGAATCTTTGATGATCTGCGACCCGATTTCACCACTGCTATGGATATAGTGGACGCTACCTCTACTGACATCATCTTGAGTAAACTTAGTGACAGGTTCCCCATTGAGCTGCAGAATTCCGTACCTATAAAAAGAAAACATGATAATAGTAATGTAAGCTGGAACGTGGCTGTACGACCTTCACAGTGTTGGTGTGACTTAAAACCCTAAAAACGTTTGCGCAAGATTGCGTGAGAGCAAAATATTACCTAAGGTTATTCAGTTATTCATTGTCAGATTGAACTAAATGCTCATTCACCACATACTTGATAGATTTTCATTCGTCTTTTCATATGCAATAACATAACAATATTTCATTTTATTTCATTTTATTTCATTTTATTACAAAATTTACTGTTTTGATAGCTTTATACGTGTTTGAATTTGTTTCCAATTTTAATGATAAAAGGGTGTAAATTGATATTTACTTTGGTTGTTTTACGATGAGGAACACGAGGGTTCCTTCATCTGTGTCCTCGTCGGTGGCAGATAGAACATTTGAGTTGATTACAGCCTCGCTGCCCTCGGATACTATAAGGTGAGGCTTCAAATTCTCCTTCACCTTGGGAGCCTCGTCATCAACTAGAATTATCTCTACTTGGAACACCTTAGACACGCGATTGATACCGTCTGTGAGGGACAGTGTAAAGCTATCACGTGGAACCTCGGAACCATCATGGATGTACCTGAAAGAGACATTAAAATCTATTTATATCTCGGGAGCATTCTTATCCTAATGATATCCAAGATGAACAAGATGAAAACTAATCGTCTCTACAATGAAGGAAAAGAGTATGCGGGACTGCCAGAATTTGATTGAAAAATCTGAAATATGTGTACATGTATATCGGATGAGAAATACTTATGAGGACATACATCTGTTATAAATAACAAGCGTCATAGTCTTATGAATGAAATTATAAATACACTAGTTTTGAATTGAAACTATAAAAAAGTATACTTTTATAAAATATTTGTAATACAGAAACATAATTTGTAATCGTTTGAAACTTTCAAATTGTTGCTACAATTCAGTTTCGATCATCTTGATCTGTTAGTGCATTTTCATTTAACAGGTACCCGTGTGGGGGGATCATTGAAAAACATACTAATTTCATATGAAATACGTTGACATTCTAATTTGCTTAATAAATATTAATATTATGTATGATTTAAAGTTATGGCTGTCTCTGATCAGTATATTTATGCGATGTCGTAAGAAATTTTCAATACCAATAATTACATTCACTTTTTTATCTATACATAAATGAAATGTCTGACTTGATAATTAAATATGTGATGAACATACTGGGATGAGCTTTGAAGACATTTGACAGCCAGATAATCAATTTATAATTTATATTTTTTTCAAAAGCATATTCAAAAAGTTTTTTTTTTTAATATATTTCAAATGCGCAGTTAAATAACATGTTCGGAATCATTAAGCGTTTCGTTATCAAAAGATATATGATATTATAGACTGAGAGAAGGGGGTTATAAATACATTTATTTCATGATACATGTGTAAATATATGTATTAAAATGATGATATAGTATATATAAAAATATGCGTATAATACTATGATAATGTAAGTTACTTTGCTCAAATTTCATGTTTGAAATGTGGGTTATAAATCTGCATTAAAATAAAGAAAAATATATGTCAGATAAACAATGATCCATTCCAATGACTTTGTAAGGACCTTAGTTTAGGGGTACCAATTCTGATAAATGAATACCAATTAATTTGGATAATAATCTGTTTTTGTCTTTGCATATTTACAGTAAAATCTCTCTTATTAAGACTACAAATTAACACAAATGGTCTTAATTATGAGGTGGTCTCATGTTTATAAATGTTTTAACATTCTATTATAATATAATTTTTTATGAGATACACTAATTACCGTAAATCCTTTTTCCGTAGATCTAGCATACTAAATGTATCTTTCTCTAGAAGGTTATTTCCCCCTTTCTGAAGACGCCCGTGGTTTGGTAGACCTTCTAATATAAACGTCAGATCAGCCTCGTTTGTGTCAACGTCAACTGCAAAGATATGATTGGTAGATATTCCGAGAATCCCGCCTTCTTCTACAAGCATTTTTGAAGACTGGAACTCTGGTGCTTTGTCATTAACCGGTTGAATATCGATATCGAATTGTTGTCCGAGAACTTTGTTACCGCTAGAGTCTTGTACAGTGTAGACAAAGCGTACAAGACGGGGATCCGGACCAATATCTTTCATAGGTGGCATGTATCCTATCCTAAGGTGGTTTATGTCTTCCTGTTTGAAGGTGGTAACGGGTGATATGTTATTGTTCTTACTTTGCATTGTCGAGTTATGCATTGCTATAACTCTTCCGGCATCTTCCCTCTTATTTCTCCTGTTACTGTATACAAAATGTGGCGGTGTCGTGATGATATACGTTAACCTATCTGACCCTGTCTCAGTATCGGTATACTCAAGTTCAGATTTGGTAATTCTTGCTATTTCAGTCTCCGACACTCGAATTAAGCGGGTCGCTTCTGGTGACAATTGCGGTGGGTTTTCATTCACCGGATTAATAGCTATGTAAAATGTTTCGAGCACAGATTCATTCGGTGGATCTTGTTGGTCACGAAGTGTGAATAAAAATTCATCATGGAAATCTTCACGTCCGAAATGTCTGTAGAAAATTTGCCCTTTAACTAATTCCCTCTGAGTGAATCTGTTCACACGAGTACCAGTATCGGACGCACGAGTTTTTCGAATCATTTCACCTGCTGCTGTCGGCTGAGTTATGACGTATGTAATCGTCATATCAATAGAGTCCGGATCATGCGCGAGGAGATCCGAAGGTTCTATACGTTTAGTTTGACCTTCATTTAACTCGATTCCAAGATTGTTAACAACGTAAGGAGGTTTGTCGTCTTTTGGAATTATCGTTATTGGAAATTTTACAACTGTGTCCTTTTTACCATCGCTTATCCTTAACTGGATGAAATCTCGCTCTGATTCTCCGTCATCATGAACATATTTTACATTTCCTTGGACAAGATCAGAGATTGTAAAGTAAGAAATGACCTCATTGTTGAGTACGAGTTCACCATGCTGAAGTCCACCGATAATATATACCCGTATATCATTTGGATTATTGTTATCAACTATTTGTAAATTATTTGTACTGATTTCACGTGATTGTCCTTCAAGAAGAACTAGTCCGGTGTTAAGGGAAACACGTGGTGCATTAGAAGATGAAGGTCGAATGGCAATGTGAAGGACAATCGGCATGCTTTCGGCAAAATGGCTGTCGTAAACTTTAAATTCAACTTCATATATTTTCCTTTCGGAGAAACTAATATTAGGCGGCTGATATGCTATTCGGTGGTTTTCTAGATCATCTTGGAGAAAGGAAGTTACTTCAGTTGTCTGGTCATCTAAGTGAACGAAATACCCTTGGTCCGGACTGGATGGTTTGGAGATGTTATAAATCAGTAAGTGATCGGGAGTCTCGTAATCTTCAGCGGAAATAATTCCAGGAATGATTGTTGAAAGAATAAACTGGTCTATGTCCGTCATGTACATACTTTTGTATGAAGATCGAGGAGGCGAATTTAATAAAGCATTTTTGATGTAAATTGGAAGAAAGAAACGTTCAGTTTTGAATTCATCAATATTTTCAGGGTCATGAAGTTCAATACTTAAAGGGAAATAATCCACATCCGGTGTTGGTTTTTGTAAATGCTCATAACGCAGTTCCATATAAAGAAATTCTTGACAGCTCGTTTTAATTGATTCCACAGGTGTTCTCTGATCACCCATTATCACGTGACCTACTAAAGGCCAATGGGTGCTGTTGTCAAAGGTGACAGTACATGACACATTTGGTGACCTACTGTGGTAAAAGCGCAACACTGAAGCGTCTATTGTATTAGAGATTCCGTTAAATTCTGGGACTATCACGTGACGTAACCCACGTGTTACTACTATTTCCGTTGAAGCATTGCTGACCTTCACCCCGAGGTAGAATGTTTCTGTAACAGTTTTTCTGCTGGTAAATCTATGAACACGAAGCTTGATTCTGTCTTCATTAAGGAATGGAGAACCATCGTGGATATATTTCACCGTATTTGGTTGATAGGAACAGTCAAATATCTGAAAAATAGACAAGGAACTTTGATAAACATTCGAAATTACAATGTAGGCTTACCATAGTCAAGCATCAGTGATGAGTTACAAATCAAGGTTGCCAAACAGCTATGTGGTAACTAATTGAACATAGAAAGTATGTTGTGATTAAACCCCTCGAAATTGTACATGTATAACACACTTATATGCCATTTTAATAAATTCTTATAATACAAGATTTACCACATACAAAACTAAAAGTATGCTTAATATTTATTTGATGGTACGGTTTGTTATATATACATGTATTTGATGTACGGTCGTAAAGTTCGTTGCTTATGAAATTCAAAAGGTGACAAAAATGGTCGCAGAGGGTCTTTAATAAAATAGTGTTAAAAGCTGATTTGAATTCGAATCTGACAAAAAGGCTTTTCGTTAAGAGTATCTTAAACGATTGAATTATCTAGATTATCGTATTTTCTCGTGACCCCACGCATGCCACGGTGTAGGTAACAAATAAACGAGGGTATTTGAATATATAAGATGTTAAGATACGTTACTCTAAGGCTATTGTGCGAGTTTGATGTATGATATTCTCATCAAATGTCCACCATTCCCTTAATATGTTGCCCTATAAATTACCCTTTCCTTCAATTTTCTGATGATAATTGAACAATTTATGGACACTTGTTGATTTACACCAGTATGTATTTACATATTCACATACTTACACACGTGAAACCCGTGCATTGTATGGAAATTGGAAAATTAGGAATAAAGGTTGATATCTAGGCAGGAATATTTTATGAGATAATATATCAAAGATAGTACCATCTGATATTATAATTTGTGCGCTATTTAATTCTTGAAGGAGCAGTGGTTACAATAAACTATAAAACATTTGTCTACTTTACGACACAACGAATTCGTATGCGGTGCTTTAAAAGCAAATATCTAACATGAGTGTAAACAAAACTGCAAGTCAATGCGAACTGAGAGGGTTTTGTTGTAAAATTAAGCTTAGCGGGCAAAACATATTCAAGTATGACGACAAATACAAATTTTCAGTCAATTACAAATTTTAATGGGACAAATAAAAGCAGAAATTAAATCAAATAACGCAGGTTTCATTGTAGGAAATTAACTTGAAAGTTTAAAAAGATTTACGACTGCCCTTTATATCCGTTGTTGATGACGATGCTAAAATAGGTGAAGTGTAGGAAATGACAAAATCCCAGGTGTTCAAATATATGGGAACTTTATCTCCATGAAAAGGTTTTTGGTAATCGATAGCTTAACTATGAGCCCTTCACTGGATCATTATTCAAGCTTAAAGGGTCATCTATGGGGTCATATATCATGGTAAAAGCAAAGATTTGGTAATAAAGGATTTGTTTTTATCGTAAAATTGGATTTTATTTTTGCTAAAACAAGCTTTAAAAAGACAAATAAAAAAGATAAACAGCAAAAATATAAGCACCAGATGTTTAAAACGCATGTAATTATATCATTTTTATATAAAATAATTTTGTTATGTTACAAAACCTTCAATAATATCAAAATTATATGTTGTAATGAATTTAATTCCATAATTAAATGTGATAATAATAATTCTTATATAAGATTCCTTTATATTAAACATTATAATAACCGGATTAACGTGTGCAATACTTGAAGTTAATTATACTTTCAAAATTTTATTATGATCTGTTCAACGTACATGTTGTTTAATTTGTTTTTATATGTTTCTTTCCCATATAAAGAGACATCTATTTTTTGAAACTGCGGAATTAATTATCATTAAAATCATCATCATTTTCCTAGGCATCATCAACATCATCATCATCATCATCATCATCAACAACAACAACATCATCAACAACAACAAATCAACAAAAACCAACAACGTTGACTTTAACATCTTTATCATCAACGTCATAAACAACAACATCATAAACAACAGGTCTAATTCATCTTTTTACACCGATTTATGTATGATAATGAATGAAAAATGTAAAAATCGTCGAAAAAAACAAACAATATTTGTCTATTTTGTGATCATGATTTCTGCAAGCTGCTCCAATCCTGTATTGGGTTAAATCCGCCATCAAAGTGTTCATTTAAATATTGTTAATTATTATAAATTCATGTGATCATTTAATTAATATTGTTATCGTTATCATCATCATTATTATCACCATCTATATCATTTGTTGTAGTTGTCTTCTATCATCCTCACATGAAAGAATCTAAAGTCCCTTGTGGGAATCGAACCCACAGCGGTGAGGGGCAAGTAGTTTGAAGTCAACGATCTAAACTACTCGGCCACGGTCGCCCCTCTTATCATTATTAATGTAATCATTAATATATGCTATCACCAACAATAAAACTTTAAAATTCATCAATAATCAGACTGTTAATTTCAAACAAAAATCAATAAAACACATTTTTCATGTAAATGATTTCAAATTTATAAAAGCATTTTTTCACTTTTGAATTTTTTATTTTAAATAAACTGAGGGGTGTGGCCGTATGCCTTGTGACTTTCTCATTTTACAACTATTGAATATACATTTTTTATAAACCGACAGTTTTAAACTTATGAATGAGCTGTCACTATATCATAAAAGAAGTTTCTTTGCCAATCTTCAATCATCACAGGCGCCGCTTTTAACACTATCGGATGAGATTGTAAAAATACTTGTCAAGTACTTATTGCTTGGCGATACGTTATTATTATAGTGGTCATATGTGACATGAAGTAAAGATGTTCCCTATATAAATCTACTGATTGGATAATGTAGCTAATTTCCTCTCTGTCTGTATGGAATATTTCGTTGACAAATGATTGGCCGTTGTTCAAGTAATTGACGGGCCAACATTGTACAAGGGGAACAACTCTTGTCGCCTTTATGAATGAAAGTTTAGTCATGTGCAGTTAAAACTTAATGTGTTACTCATTTTAAAAATTCAATTTGATTCTCATAACTCCTGTGCTGTTGTAAATGTGTTGTGACCAAGTTTGGGTACACATTTACACTATCATAAACTAGTAAGCAAACCTGTGCAAATTTTATTATTATATTATCTTTATGCATGGATGCTGTAAATTTATTTTTTCTTTAAAGAATGGAAAAGTGGAGTGTAACAAATTTGTTATGCAGATTTTGACTGGTCATATGATCGTGTATAAACGGTTGATACCTATGTTACAGCCGTCTTTACTGGGTGAGTCTGGATCATAACATTTCAATATATATAATATAAATATATAATTATATTGAAAATATATTTTATTCTAAGAAATGCATTGGCTAGCTTTTTCTAATATGCTCACGTTATTTTTTCTCTTCCTTTTTATTGCACCTTAAATAAAAGTAATAAACTATTATGAAAAATGAGCATAGAATTTTTTCGCAAGCTGTTAATTATTTAACAAATAGCTTCTAAAACGGTAAAATGTTAAAAAGAACATGTTCAAATAAAGATATGTTAGATAATCTATTTCAGACTAGGTTGTCATGTTTTGTTCGCTGAAATGTAAACATCACAGCAAACGCCACAACGTATTAGGTTAAAAGAAATCTTATCTGACTTTTAACACCTTTTTTCTCTTTTCATTTAAGGTTATCCGCCCGCCAATACCTGTATGTTCGGTAAAGCTCGTGGCATTCCGTATCTTATTCTTACATTACGTATCTTATTCTTACATTCCGTATCTTATTCTTACATTACGTATCTTATTCTTACATTCCGTATCTTATTCTTGTATTCCGTATCTTATTCTTACATTACGTTTCTTATTCTTACATTCCGTATCATATTCTTTTCTTATACATGTATTATTTGATATTTATTTCAAAACCTATAAGACGTCCAAATTGCCATTGATCCTTGTTACAGCGAAAACCATTTGATACTTATAGAAAAGAAATGTAAAACGCGAAAAATTGCATAATAAGCGGAATCTTAAAGACCTGATAATGGGTGTACACCCTTAACACTTTGATGTCAGTATTACACATTATGTAAATATTGAATGGGATTATGGGATATTAAACTGCACACATTATCGGGAGCTTTTACATTGAAAAACTATACAAACATCGTAACCCCCAATGAACTATATATGACTAAAATTGTATGCCTTAACAGGTTAAAGCGATGGTAATTTAGCATTATTAAGCCATTAAACGGACCTTTCAAGATTTCAACGACATCAAGAAAATAAATTACGGAATTTCAACTGAATTTGTCAAGTCAACTGAATTGAGGTTCTAATGCACAAAAATGATATGATTTTGATATTTAACTAGTTAAAGTACATTATATAAAACTTTATTTGGTATTTATTTATTCATGCAGTCGCCATCGCTAATTCATAAGTTCGACTAGCTAGTACAGGACATAGCGAATCTCAATTTCAGAAGTTACAACAATCATTGAATTAACAATATAATATTGTTCCGAATATGTTTATATTGAATATAATAACAGAAAGCTTTGTGCATTTTGACAGAAGTCGGGTTATATTGCATTGGTGATTAATAACTTACGAAACTACAACAAAATGTAGTTATATAACCTTACTAGATTCATTGCATATCAATATAACCTTTGCACCATATCATAACAAATGTTTATAATATACCATGCAATGAAATTTCTTATTGTACATAAAAAACATGACATGTTTTCGCCAAAGATCTGCACCCATGGTTGTCTGTCTGTATATGTGTGTATGTTTTTGTTATAATTTGAATAATACTGTGGTATTTACAAATAAAATATTTTGTGAACAAAGTCAATCCACCGTATATCTGTAAAATTTCACTACAGTTGTATACCATCTCGTATTCGCCATCATTTATCATTTAATAATACATTTGAGCCGCGTCACGACAAAACCAACAAAATGAGTTTGCGACCAGCATGGATCCAGACCAGCCTGCGCATCCGCGCAGTCTGATCAGGATCCATGCTGTTCGCTTACTAACCCTATTCCAAGTAGATAAACTGATAGCGAA